CTTAATTCATGGTTGGCAAAATTGTATTAACTGTTCCTTTAAAACACACAGAGTGTCAGGTTAAGTACAGATATATCCCAGTGTGGGGTGGGTATATAGTTTCCGGTGCAGAAAATAAACGTCTAAGCTCTTGGATTTGCGAATTAGCTCAAGCCAACCGACGTAATTAAGTGGTAAAATCAACTGATCACACAAAACTACAGCAGTCCTTTTACTTCTGATGTCAGTTAAGTTCACCTGGAATATGTCAAGTCTAAAACAGAGACAGACAGTCTGCTCTCCTGTGTCAGCTGATCCTGCTGATCCTCCAGCCATTACTGCTGTAGCCCCTTTAAGAGCACCGACAGACACTGAACTCCTATCTGTGCTGCCAAACAGCCTTGCAGTGTCCCCCAGTTTGACCTCCTGACAGCTATCAGCTCCTGCAGTGCAAGTCCATGCTTCTGTGCTCAGTACAAACAGTGCTGTTGCTGCACGGAAGAAGAGCACAGGTCAATCTACAAGACTCATAACACTGAACAAAGAGTGGGAATCAGTCTTAGCGTCAAGAATCCAAGATAACAGCCAAAAGCTAAACAAACAATACTCAATACTCAAGTAGGGAACAACATGTTCAAAACAGATGTTAATATGTGAACTTGGTGCTTCCAAGTGGTGCGATTGCCTAAGCAATCATTGGGAGATTGTTGGAAGTTTGATCCCTGGCAACTCCATAGCCATTTGTTGCTAGGAGGACAAGGGCCTGTCCTGAAGTCCACACTTGCGGTTTGTAGTTTTGCTTAAGTTTACACTAACATGAAGCATCTCCATATCTTTAAGGGACACACAGTTGTTAATGTGCGTGCGATGTTAACGTTTTTGCCCAATATTTCTGAAAGAGCATGTCATCAACAACTTTAACTATGGGATATAGACTTGGCCCAATACCATTGCGATGTGGTATTCGTGAAAGTGTGAGTTTAGTGTGTGGTTAGTGTTTTTGCACATTTGAGAAATGGGACACACTTGGACACTTACTGGAAAGCCTATGAATGTTCAGACTTGTACACAATACTGTGAGTGAGTCACAAGAGAGCATAACTGGTCTTGGCAGTTAGATGGGTCTCAGAGGAAGCACAAGCTAGCCTTCACCCTCCCAGCTTGGTACCACCGTGTGATAAGGTTAGATCTAGGTAGCGAGTGGAACTGGACATAAATAGACTAGGTTTTTGTTCTTAACCTGACACTTTGTTTAAGGAGTTTATTATTTGTTCAGTTTTGCTTTTTTGTGTATGCTGAAATAGTAAAGAAACTGCATGACTGTCAGGATTTTGGCTTAAGTCTTAACTCTGATGCACTCATTTTTCAAAACCAGAGGGTTCAATTTATATGCAACTGACGCTCAAGTCTTGCTATTATGATGCACAATATGTCACAATATATATTCTTTATGACATCTGACAGACAAAGTAAGCCCACATTTTAAAAATACTATCAGAGCTATGAATTCATTTATTTGAATTAGGCTCTCTTTAAATCAATCACTAACATGCAGTTGGGAAGAGCTGCTCAGAAAAGCATAAATGTGACAATGTGACGTAGTTTATTGCAAGAACAATAAATATTGTCATACTGCCCAGCTCTAGCTGTGAGTACTGTCATGTCTGACTGACAGATGTGGTAACTTATCTGCTATCTGCTTCAATCTGACTGGCTCATCATGGGTTGACAAAAATGAAGGCGTGCTGTCTCTATTGATTTAAACACACAGAACTGGGACAGCACAACGTGATTAACTTATTCAGGAGTGAACACCAGTCTGCAGTTCAGAGGCTTGGCTCTGCTTTATGCTGTGCTGCCACAAACCCAACCCTGACATGAGCAACGGTGGGGTGTGGAGTGTGCAGTATACTTTGAGCCTAAGCTAAACTAAGCTAACAAAGACACAGCTGTGACACTCATTTAAAATCAAACCATGACTAAATATTATAAGCAGACATCAAACAGCTCTTAAATATACATATACGGTCTACATTTTGTCTGTGTCCTCTACACAAAACATTTTCAGACATTAGCAATCAAATTATAGAGATTTAAACAGTAAACAGATTTAGACAACACAATTCTTGTCTACTCTAAATGTTTAAGAAAACTGTCTTTCGTTCAGACACATTAATCAGAGAGGTTGTGTGGAGACATTAAAAGCAACATCTACTGTAGAACAGCCTTGACACAGAGTTGAGCAACACTATACTTTGGGACAACTTAAAGAATCTCAAAGGACTACTATAAAGACCAATAAATCAGATCAATCCTGCACAGCTGTTTTTTAGAGGAAAGCAGGAGCCAATCATTTTGCAGAATTCCCAAGCTTGCTGATTCTGGCCCAGTGACCCAGTAAGCAAATCACACGGGAGGAGGTGTAGGAGCTCCACCCATGGGGAGGGCAGCTTCCCTCCAACACATTACCCCTGCTCTGTGATTACTAACAAAGTCCTTACAGGTAAGTCTACTCCCTTGAACAGTCACCTCCAGTCATATAAGACCAGACACTTATCTTCCCATACAATGAAACTGAAAGTCAAGCTTTAAAAAAGAAAGAAAAAAAAAAACAGTCTGGCTAATACGCAAGGACTTCTCCACTTACACAAGGCAATTTGCTCTTTTTATTGAAGGGTGGGTCATTGTTCAGAATGATGAGCTATTGCATTCATATTTCAACCAGTGAACTGTCTCTTTCTCTTTTAAAGTCTCTGCTACTGATCATGTTTAGGTCATGTTTACCTCTGTTACAAATACAATAAATCAAAACTCTCATACAATTTTTCCACTGCTAGTACATTAAAAACCTCAAGCACTTGCAGATAAATACTAATACCAACTTTGCTCTGTTGACCAGACAATACAAGCCTCATATTTAGATTGTCACACTTTAAAAGAATCCATCAAATCCATTATAAGAATCTAAGAAGCTGGGCAAGGTTAACTTACTGATGATGAAATATCCAAATTCACAGAGGAGTCCACTTAGAATAAACCTAAAGACTCCACAGATTTTTCACTATTTCTTTATTTTCAATGTTCGAGATATAAATAAAGTTATTCAGAGTGGTTTGATGTGATGTGAAATGATTTGTTGTAGAGAAATTTGCCAAGTGAGTTGTCTTTACAGTGGTGGTGACAGGAACCAGAGGTCGTAATAACCACAAACAGCCACTTCATTTACTATTCAAAATGAACAGAAAAACCTACATGAGTTTTGATGTGATGTTGAAGATGGTAAAACTGGTGAATTTAAAAAACCAAGCACTGCTTTGCCTTAAAACACCCTGCATGTACTTCTCCACCATGAATCTCATGACAACTAAGATAAAATAGGTCTCGGGTATCAGGCAGTAACTGTAACTCTTTCAAGTAATAGCTTTAAGGTACTGACCGAGTTGCTCTAGAATAGAGCATTTCCCATCAAACCACTCTGAATAACTTTGTTTATATCATAACAACTGAATTACCCAGAAATTCAGAAAAATTCGCTTTCAAAACAACAACATGGCTAATGCAATGCAATTACCAAGTAAGGTCTGCTTCTCAAAGCAAATGTAATTTTGTAATACAGAATATTTATTTGACTACAGATGGTGCTATTGTATTACTGAGTCTCCTAACTTTCAGTGCTAGGACAGCTCAGACAATGAAAGTAAACTACTGTTGTTCCATGTCTAACCACAAACGCTACACTGCATAGCATTTGTACACTATGTGTGAAAAAAACACATAAAAAAGCCACATTCTCAAGCCACAGCAGTAATTAAAAGATTGCGGCAACGTGACACCCAGATATTAGAGTGGGAAAGCTGCATAAACAAAAGGATCCAGTTTTGCTCTTCCACTAAAACTTGACTATTTTATGGGTACGGGAGGAAATTTTATCCCAGACCTGTTTCTGCCTCAGAAACCATTAAGCTGGTCTCACCAGAGCATAGCCAAGCCAAAAAGCCACAAAGCACGCTTACAGGGCATTTAACAAGAGAGCATGGAGAACTTTCCCATCAACAGTAGCTTTTTCAAAATTGTTATCAAGAGCTTTACAACACTTGTCCCAATTAACTCCTCTTGGCAAAGAGATGGGAAAGAGCAGAACCCTCAGAGTCATTATGAACTCATTACTGTAGGAGAGCAGAGGTTTGCCATGGCTGAGGCGTCAGGAAAGGAGCTGCTTATACTGGACAGTTACTGTTTAATTAACGTTTCCTCAGTCATCAGAGCTTGTAGAGGCCTGCCGGCAGCCCACTCCCTAACAAATGCCCATTTTGTGCTGGGCTGGCAGTTCCTGCTGACTAAAGGAAAACACAGAGCTTTATTGGTTATAGAGCAGTGATTGTGTCCAGGGATAAACAGAATGCAGCCTGTTACAAAGCCCCCACTGTGGCATGGAGAGGACGGATGCTTTGGGCTAGGGGGCCACAATGCAGCTTGAGTTTGGCATTATGGAATGCTAATAGGCAAGCTTGTTTGCTATGGTTGGAGCAGCTGTCATATGCAAGGGCTTAGATGGACCTTCCTTGTGAGCTTTCAACCAGCAAAATCATATCTGGCATTTATATTAGGACACATGACTTTAATGCACAGCACATTTAATGGCTAGTGCAGAGGACAGCTAAAATGAGAAGAAATTAATATCTCTTCTCATGATAACAGGAAGCAATATGGATTCCCACATTTTCACCTTAAAATAGACAAATGTACACTGCTTTGCAAAATTGCAGTAGGGGCCTTATTGAAGCCTGAATTTGGTCTGTACTTTTGCCCATTTTTATAACAGCATGTCATACTGGTTTGAGAACACTGTATGATTATTTAGGTATGAAGCTTGCGGGATACTAATGGGTGGGGACTTCAGACACTAAACATGTCTTGGTTGGTGGGCAACATTTGGGTTAAAACTGTATTGCTTATTTGCTGCACTATCGCTTTAAAGCTCTACTTTACAGATGTTCCAAGTCTAAGCATGCTCCACTCACCTGAACACAGAATACCCTTGTGGCGGGCGCAGGAGAAGTCATCACATTCACAGAAGGTACCGTAGATCTTGCCAAATTCCGACTCATAACACCAGCACTGGTTACAGCTGCACTCCCCGCGCCCACTGCACACCTGCTTGCCTTCAGCCTCGCGGCAGGCGCTGAGGTTTAGGCTGCCTGCATCTCCCTCCTCACACTCGCAGTGTGCTCCACGATAACCTGACTCGCAGCGACACGTCCCACATGTGTAGGTGCCGCTGGAGCTACAGCGGCTGCTGTTGGTCTGAGTGTAGCGTGTGCAGCCACAGTCGCAGCGGTAGTCCACAGACACCTCTAAGCGGTCCTTGAAGCCGACTGGCTTGATGGTGAAGCTCTTCTGTGTACCTGAAGGAGGACAGCTACGAGCGTCCACACTTATGTCAAAAGAGACCTGAAGGAGAGAGCAGCCATTTTCAGTTGATGTCAGGACAAAATGTTTGTAAGTAAAAATACATACACACCCTCTGCAAAGAACTTCTGTATATTTTAATGCACATTTTTTTTTTAACTTTGTATTTACTTTATTTGCTGAATTTAACAGAGAAAAAAAATAAATATAAAATGTGGCATGTACAAAGGTTATGGAGCATTTAATATGTTTTATTTTTTTCAGTATGTTAAATTGAAAAAATAAACAGCAACAATCCACTGTAATTTGCAGAAAAATGCCATATTTAAGTTTGTTCTCTGTAGCGGATGTGTTCCAGCCATTGCAAATCTAACATCATATCACATCACACAGTGTGTGTGTGCCATTTCAGAATAAATTTGTTCCTGAATTGTATCAGATTATATGTTTTTCCTCTTCTGATATCTGATCCAGCACTTTCCACTGATACTATACCAATAGACCCATAGATACTGATTTCTCTACAGATAATACACCAAAAAGTAATCCCCAAGGTCCTCCAATCTATCCATCCATCTACACTTACACTGTAGCCACACCAATTGGCCATTTTATCAAGTACCTCTATGATATATGTGCACTTTGCAGGTATACAATTTCTGCAGCTGTAAAAAACTGTAGCCTGAATATTATTTAGTTGCTGCCATCTAAATAATATTCACTTAGTGGTGGAACTATGGTGGTCACTTTCTATTGGCAGACAGGGTAGAGAGCGTGACAAACTGTGCAGCAACAGTGGGCTACAGTCAGTGTATTGGTTAACTACCAGGTGCACCTATGTGTTAAATGGACCTGATAAAATATCAAATAAATCCAGCTACGAGTGTAAGTGTACCTAATAAACTGGCAACTCGGTCTACAAAGAAAGCTTAGGCTCAAAGTCAGGGACAGTAAAACTGTTATAATATGAACATGAACTCTGTGACTCAGTGTTTATACATGACCTTATCTGTCCTCACTGACAAGGAACAGGGGCAACTCTCTGACTGATGTAGAACATGCTTGAAATATTAATCACACACAATTACAGCAAGACAAGGACCCCACCCTCTTGATTGGTCTGAGGAAGGAAGTCTTAAAAACAGAGTCGAGACTACACTTGCCTGTTTGGACATGACTCGCACTAAAGGTCTTCAGTCAGTGCTTCTACAAAACCCATTTGATGAGACACTTTAAGTTACTGGAGATGATAGTTGTTCAAAAGAAAAAGCATAAAGAAAGAGGAAATATTAAAGCTAAACATGACTGGTGGTCTATACCAGAGGCTTGGCAGAAATGAGGCTGTTCCCATAAAATCATTACACAGTAAGAGTGAGTCAGTATGGCTGCTTTGAGGCCAAACTATGTGGGGTAGAGAACCCAACACTCTTAAAACATAAGGCCTGGCTGCCCTTTGACAGCTAGGATCTTAGGGGAAAAGGACAAGTTCAGCATGCTGGTTTGTGGAGCTTTGAAGCACAGTGTGACTTCCACGGCCCAAACTTTTACACTGAGGCCCAAGCTAAACACTTGGCTACAGTGGATGTATTGGTGTTGGCAGATTACTTGCCAGTCATCAATCTCTCTTCAGAAGAAACCAAAATCATGCATGTTTTCAACACGACCACTACATTACCAAGCTTTCTACTCAGTCTTCATGAACTGGAAAGAACTTATTGCTTTGACATTCTGCCCTAAAGGGGATGGCTACACACAGTATTCAGAGATTAGCTTTAGTATATAAAATAGACATGATGCAGAGTTAAGCAGGCAAGCAGCACCAGTTCCAGAAAACATTCAGTACCATGCCAGCAGATTCAATTTCCCAAATATTTTCAGTGCTTAAGTAAAAAGAGGTACCTCTTCTGCTGTATCTTCCAACACACTGGATATAAAATGCTGCTTTGTATAACACACCTTGTTTCTCACCTGCCAGGCTGCATTAGCTGTCTAGTATGTATGAGCAGTCACAGATATGAACACTTATCACAATCTAAAACTAGCAATTTCAACTCTCATCACAAAAGAGATAATAAGCATTTGCCATGACAGCAGAAGAACAGGCAGTGAAGAGAGGGAAAGCGATGACGAGTCAAGATGGGTATGAGGCGGAAGGAAGAAGTCCACAACAGCAATGTTCCCTTAACAACTTAATGAGCTGCAGAATTGGATTAGCGAGGCATGTGAATCACGAGGCCACGGCATGGGTGAAATGGCTATTTTGATGAAAAAGAGATAAGAAAGAGAGCAAGAAAAAAGAAAGTGAGTGGATGGACCCAAGAAGTGGGTTGGGCGGGTTCAGACGGCGATCAAGTGGACAGTCAGTCACATCCTGTCAAATCAGTGAATTTCTGTCTTTGGTTCCTGAAGTGTGCAAGTTTGGGCCACTTCCTCCTTGCTCAAGGCTGGAGGTTCAAGTTCAGAAGAAAAGGGAATTACTAAGGGAATTACTAAGGGTATAATGGGCTAGCTTGTCTTTAGAATGTCTGACTATGTCTGAGCATGCACTCAGAGGTTGGACGAAGTGGTGAATTGCCAGCAGCCAGCAGCAAAAACAACTATTCCAGTAAGGTACTCAAGTTTTATGTTGCTTTAAGGAATGATGGGCTTTGCTGAGAGCCTTCCACTTTCAGAACTCCGTGATCAGACCAAGTTAAGGACATAAACAAGATATGGCCACAGGTTTTGTTTACTGAAATGCTCTGCTGAGAAATAGCTGAGCCTAAATCATATAAAGTCACTATGTAACAGATGTTCAATCTCATTATAAAACCCAAGCTCTAAAATTACCCAGTTCGATCATTATATTTAAAAAAAAAGATACCAATGCGTTTGCACAGCAACACAAACAAAAGCTTCTTACGTGAAAGGGACACAAAACATATCTAAGAATGAACCAAATGCACACTGAGACGTGCCGGCACAATATAGGATTAGTTCAATCTGTTATGTATGGGGCTCTTCAGTAGTCTCAGGAGGCTTCAGTCGTGCTCTGGTGAAAAGGGCTAGTGAATTTGGGCTAGTGCTTCTGTTTCCAAGGCTCTTGTTTTTTCCACAGCTTCTCTGCCCAGAAAGAAATCTCCACTATTGTGTGAGGCCATTGAGATGCAGCGTCAGGCTCCTCAGAGAGTCGGCTGGGGGCCTGCAAGTGACACCCGGGCTTCTGCCTATGCTGTGTTCCTCTTTAGAGGGGAAAGATTGGCACATGGGTGCGATGTGACAAATTCCTCCAAGTAAAAGACAACAAGAGCCAAGCTTATTACACTGGCTAGACAAAATTAGGCTTTACCATTCACTGAACCCATTCAGTCTCCTAGTTTCCCTAGCCAAGCCATTTATACATTCATTCAGGTTAAAGGAACAGGAGAAGAGGACACTGAGGACTTCAGGAATGAATTCTTGAGAAGCCAGCTCTCTGCATGGTGGCATGTACCGAGTTGGCTTTACAATAAGCCATTAATAAGAAATGCATGGGAAGAGAACATTCAATCTGCATCAGCAGCTTTGTATCATCATTTTTAACAGCAAATAAATAAATAAACAAACAAACAAAAATAATTAAATTATACTCTGCACCAACACGCTTCTGGTAAATATTACCATTTATAAACTCTACATAGCTAATAAGTTTGTACTGTAAAAATATGCCAGACACATTATTTCAACCTCAAACACTCTGTGAAACCAAAGTGTCACAAATGCATCATTGCTTACAATCCAAACTAGTGAAATTCCCAGACAAAAAAAAGAGACTGCACTGGCTGAGAATACCTAGAGAATGGCTCCAATCCTGAATGGCTGATAATCTGGAGCATTTATGTTATCACTCAGATTGCACAGTTCCAGAACAACTAGTACTAGCCAAAATTACCACATGATGCGACAGCCTATGGGCCAAATGACAGAATGTTATTCTGCCTGAGCTTTGTAGAAAACCACAACATTGTTGGCTTCTGCTTTTGTTCGCACATGCTCAGGTTTTGAGTAAATGGCCTGTTTGAGGGTCTTATTTTTTGGTTTAATCCCCATGGAGTACGGTTTCAAGATATTCAGCATGTGCTTTAAAGCTTGAAAACCTTTTGTCCACACTGTTTTTGATAAGTTCTTATGCAATGAAATCCAAACTCAGGAGCAGCTTGAACATGTCCTAAAATTACCTGCCTTCATCAAAGTGCTTTCAAGGTAATTCTCTCTCAATTACTCTGTTCAAATCTCTAAGCACTGCAAGCATATCTTTGCTTTAGGGTAGTGTTTGAAAATGCTAAAAATCTCCTTTTGTTTGATCTAATCAAACTGTACTGCCCTTTTGACAAGATGGAAAGGTCACCCTGCATTCTCTCTCCCCTCTAATTCCCTTTAATTACTGAGGATTCAGTATTTCAGTCTACTGGAAGTCCTTGGCGCAGTAATCCAAGCAGAGATTAAGATCCTAAATACATGTTTAAGAAACAGTGTCACAGCATTCAGGTGTCACATTCTTCATCCAAGCAAAGAAAATTAAGTAAGAAAATCAAAATCTCCACATCAGTCTTTACCACTCCAAATGTAAAAGCAACATTTGATCAGCATATATAACTCACCGTGTCTCCAATCTTCAGGTCGGCACACTTGCGGAGGCCTGAAAGGGACTGACCATCTTGACAGGTGGCAGTGAAGGCAAGATTCAGGTCCTCAGGATGATCCCACACACTCAACTCTACTTTGGACCGAATGTTCTACATTACAGACAAAACAATACAAAGATTAAAAAAATGTAGCTACATAGTGACAGATTACATGTCCACCAAATAAAATTTAAATAAACTGGCTGTCAGACTGCATGACATGGACAAAACACTAGTACTGCGATCATACTGCTACATATTGCGACCGCAGTGTTCCTTGCAAAAAAACGAAAAATGTACTGGTGAATCAGTAATAACACGATTAATGATTGACCTGCATTATTTTGACAAAAATAATTTCCTTTTAGTGCATTACATGAACACCTTGATTCACAAACACCCATAGAAACATTCATTTGGAAGTGTGATTGGTCAAGATGCTCACAGGACAGAGCTAAACTATTGTAATTGGTTAAAGAGCTCATTTCAATATTGCAGCCTTTTGAGCGCTGGGTTCTACAGACCAATACTACAATATACTGTGCAGCCCTAACTAGCTCTCTTTGCATGCAGCTAGGTCCTAATTAACTATTGATAAACCAATATGACGTGAAAAATGACAATATCTTCATTAATAAACAGTAAAGAAGAAAAAAGTATCATGTAAAGCTTTGGCCATGTCTGGAAAATTCCTAACTCAAGACTAAATAAAGAGGATGCACTGGAACAGTAACCTTTACACAAACAGTGATGGGGTGTGATGATTCACAAAATTCATTTTTCAATAATGATATAATACAGTGGTATCAACTGAGTGTTTTTGATATAGCAAAATAAGAAGTGGCTAAAAATGTGCCTTAAGTGTTTCTCTTTTCACTTTATTAGCACATTCAACATTATATACAATATATAATACAGTATGTGGAAAGAAGTGCTTTACAGTAACCAGACCTAACACTTTAGACACAAGCTAATATGTTAGCTCCAAGCTAACACTCTAGTTACAATACAGCAATGTAATACAACACGATACAGTGCAATACAATACAATGTATTATTACATCCCTTGTAATGACATGCTTGTGTTAGTCTTCAGTGCATAAAACAATTTACTGCCTGTATAAAACAGTTTACCCACACTCATAATATGGCCATTTGTTATAACCTGGTTAAAATCTATGTTGACTGACTATATACTTTAGCTTCTCCTGCATTCTGGTTATCTTATGGTGGCCTGTTCTGACTTTCAGCACAGATCATTTCTCACTTTTAAAGGAAGGCAAAAAATGTTAACAGACATCACATGTTCCCTGTATTCCACACATAACATAAAATAGTTCTCATCTCGTCACGGACTGCCAGCTCAAAGCACAATAACTTCAGTAAATATACAGGCCAAATTGTGAAAAGTCATAACCTACTCAAAATGTTTAAGAACTGAAACTTTTCCTTGTGTAAGACCCACCATTATGCATAATTGGATCTTTTCCAAAATCACTCTCCTTAAACCTCAGAACACCAGTATTTTTAGTTCCTCATTCTAATGATATACTGCCTGAGCCTCGGGATTCCAGCTCATAGAGTGGCCAAAGTTGACACATCTGGTGCATATAAAGGGGATTCTGCTCTACTGTGATGTTCTCACCAGGACGTTTTCAAGTAACAGCACAGCGTGACAGTGGTTAAGAGAACACAAACACCCTCATGTCCAGTAGTACAGGTCTCACTCTCTGCTCATACTGAGGATTTTGTGTGGTCCACAGAATAAAATTAGAGGTTACAACAGCATGCATAAAAGAAGAATCCCAGCACTGAACGTTCTCCCTTGCTTATCCCTCAATAGAATAGACAAGCTTGCGTTCAACAAACAAACCCTACCCTTTAATCACAGAGAACCTGTGCCTGAATCAGATGTGAGTACACTCAGTAATAGTCAAGAATAAAAAATTCAGGAATATGGATATGTTAAAACTTACATTATAGGCAGTGACAATCAGCTGGATTATATTTTTGGAGCTTTGATCCAAAATCTCCACTGTAGTTCCTGGGATCAATGCAGTGAAGTTCTAGAGGTAAAAAAAGAGGAAAATGTGAATATGGATAGTAATAACTAACAGACATGGAAAACAAAAGAAATGAAAGATCTTCTGTACAGCAAGATCTTCAGTCTACCTTCCCTAAGCACTGTGTGCTAATTAACTTATGATACCTTGTAAAGAACATAGTGTCTTTTGGTCACTGCAAAGATCAGGAAAATGTTGTTTTCAGCCAGCTTCTCTCCCAAGAGGGCCAGTGAAGGGTAGTCCTGTGCAGAGAGACATATACAAATCCATATGTGAACATGCTAAATACATTCCTTCCTCCACTTCTAGCTCTCCACTTTTCCTGTCCAACAGTTTGTGAAAGGAAGTCATTGCTCAGATTCTCCGCCGTTGTTTATACTACCCATCCCAGCCACTTCCTTTCCAAAAAGCTGAAAGGTCTTACTCTAACTATAGAGATGACATAAGGTGTTTATATTTATATGTTTATCTGTAGCTGCTAGCAAGTTCTAACTGAGGCAAATACAAAACTTTACTATTTTTACCTCAACCTGGTGAAGGTGTAGAATTTCATTCATATAAATGTAAGTAAGGCACTCCCAATCCAGGGGGAAGAACCTTACAAAAATCAGTTGTGTGGAAACTTTTACATAACATGTTGAACACAATAAAGGTATTGTAGCCCAATCAGGCAATGAAATCATGACCAAGGTTGTGCGACACAAACTGATTTAAAATCAGTCTTTTTTCAGTTCTTGACTAATTCTGTTTGTAAAAGTGTCCCAGCTGCATAAGACTGGACCCTTAAATGTTTTACTTCAGCTTTGACCATGAGGAATGCTACTTCTGCTTATTTTCTTCCTTTTTCAGCTCTCATAAACAGCTGTTCCAAGAGCGAGTGAAAGAAATCTGGTGCACACTACAATGACTGTCAGTCACTGAAGCTTCTCGCCACAAAGAAATGAGTTTTAAGCAGCTGTAGGACTCAGAGAAACAACACAGTGAAAATAACCCAGAAAAATTAGTCAAGACCAAAAGAAGCTCTCCATCCTGTAGGTTAATTTTCTTTTAATTACAAACATAAAAAGGTTTATTCTAAATTAACACCACTCTCTAAGTAATGCATCAGAGACTCCTTTCATGTTATGTAGACCATCAATAGTTATAGCAGTTTAAAGCTGAATCATCCGCAACTGGCCAGTGGAATTACTTTCTGCCATTCTCTAGCACTCTTTGTTATGAAATAGGCCTTTGAATGAACTTAACACACAAACGTATAACACTAATTTATGGCTGACAGGACAATTAGGCATTAAATATGCATTCAATAAAGTCACTCAGAACTCAGCTGGGACTGAGCAAGAGCCAAACTAAGTTGAAAAAGTAAGTCAGAATCAACATGTGGCCCTCATATGTGCTCTTATAAACTAGGGTAAAATACAACTCATACAAGTCATTAGCTTTACCAGATAGACTTTAACTGAGAATTTCAAAATGTGGCTTCTCTTACCATCTTGGTTGAAGCGCTGTATTCATTCTTGTCATTCAGGTGGCACTGGCCATCATGAGGCTGAACGAGTCCAGCAAGTTTGCCATCCAAAGCCAGGTGGGGCACATCATCTGTAGCGAAGACCAGCAGGTGATACGCCTCCTTCCTCCAGCCAATTTTCTCCTGCCAGGAGTGAGAGGAAACAATTTAACAATAATTTAACAATTCCTGCCAGTTTCAGGTCTTCTCTGAACTAGTTCTACCACACAGTCACAATATATATATTTTTCCCCTTTACCATGAAAAATAAACAAAAGATCAAATGTTAAAAATGACTTAGTTATTAAAAATAACTAAAAGAGAATTACGAAGAAAAAAGTGACTACGCAAGCATGCATTGCCCAAGAATGATTCGTGTTGAAGGATGTTATCATTTAAAATAAAGCTAAAACCACATAATTTAACCATGTCATTTTCAGTACATTCATCAAAACCCATTATTAAATACACCACGACAAAGACTCATACCAGAAAAAAACAAAGCAAATAAAATGTGTTTTAGGCAAAAGATTCTGTTCGTTAGTCAAAAGATTCTGTTGGTTGTTTGTTGCTCAAAGTTCTTAGAAATCAGACGGGTCACCAGGCAAGCAATCCATCAGTGCACAGCACACAATGAGGAAGCTGCTCTCAAACAGGTCAATCAAGACTTTCCATTTTTTAACAAGCCACTTCTAATATTATTTAGAACCCAAATACAATCCATGAAACCTGCTGCCATGTGTGAGGGCTGTTTGTTTGTTTGTTCAGCTGGTGACTCAGTCACATTTCAGTGTTTGACTAATCCAGGAATGAAGAAAGACATCAAAGACAAAACAAACACAATGCCCATCCTGACATAGCTTACCTTGCAAACAGCAGCCTGTAGAATAGCATCAAATCCGCCCTCAGGTGCATCCCTGTTGCGTGACACCATCTGCTTCTGCACCTCCTCATTGAAACGGTCAACCTTGTCAGTCAGAGACAAGAGGTTACGGAACCCAAAAGAGGGGACACAATTTGGGAACGGCTTGTATCTGTAACGATATTATGAAAACAGAAAAGAGACATCAAAAATGTGTCATTACCAGGTCAGGATTGTTCATTTGTAAATTCCTAAAGTTAAAAGGCCTGATGTTTTCTCCTGGTCAACACTATACTCTTGTACATACTTATGTATTTTTATGTATAATTTGCAAAGCTATAGGCAAACCTTACACTCTGAGCCACTGCTGTAGCTACAAAGCATTCAGTGAGAGGTTTATTTCTGTTTGTTTTGATGAAATTGCAAGGGAGGACCAGCAGAGGTGTGTTTTGGGTAAAACACAAAGGGCTGCCCCTGTCAGCCATCCACAGTGCGCTCCTGCAGTGGCATGGTCAGTAGCACATAAGAGGGTCTGGGACATAACCTACATGGGCACTGATGCATGGTGGTAGTACACTAACTTAGAGTGATCACGCCTTGGGGGCAAATGTGCAGCCTGTCAGCACTCCTGTCTCATCACATTCTGCTGACTGCTCTAAAGCCCATCGTCTACATGCCTCGGCATGACAACAACAAATGAACATAAGAACACTGGTCTGTACCCAGTAGGAGTGCTGAATTAGGAAATGCATGTCTTATTTACAATAATACAACTAATAGAAACAGATCCTAGATCAGCATTCCTGATCTGAGAAGCTTCGTGAATATGGGCCTATGATCTTCTGAAATTATATAAAAGTGATGCAAATTTAAGCAAAGCCAAAGCATTCACTGGTGAACCTCCATTCTGGATAAGGGGTTAGAAGAACACTTCTAAGACCCAGGGCCAGTTTCTCAGACCCATATTGAGTCAAAGACTAAACTAAAATGAACTTTCAATGGTGATTCACCATCAGTGAGTCCAAAATTACAACATTTTTTCCAAACTTCTGCAGAATTTAATCATTACAATGTAAACTTAGCATTCAGAGTGATCTATTGTGAAATGCTCCATTCCAGAAAAACTGATTTTTTTTAACAACGTTGGTGATGAGTCAGTGTTTAATACCTCTAAAAGCAACCTCACAGAAAACTATTACAAGACATGTTTACAAATACACTGCCTGATGCCTATAGCATTGTGTTATGGTAGTTTTGAGAGAAGGTTTTGGCCTTAAAGGTATAATTTTAAATCAATTCATGGCAGAGGGATACATGCAGGGTATTATAAGGCAAAATAATCCTCAAAGAAAAATTAGTTTTCCGATTTACCATTGCTTTACCATTATCAACATTACATAAACACATCTGTGTCATAGACATTGCAGCCCCTGGTTCCTATCAATACTACTTTCTCATCAAGCCACTTTGAATTACTTTGTTTACATCTTAATAATTCAACTATGCGCATATTTTGAAAAATCTATACAATTTCCCTTTAATACATGTCCAGAAAACAGACACTTAATGTGCAAAGTAATCTGGTTAGGAGACTTTTCACGTATTTTTGGTACATATTTACATAGTTTCATGCAACTGTATCAAATCTTCTTTGTCAACAGAGACGGTCTTAATTCACAGCAGACCTGAACCTACAACAGAAGCACTTTAGTTATACAATGTGAAAGTATATCTAAAGAGCACTGTTCTTCCCTTACCCATTGCAGGGATTTTCCTGATATTTGGGAGCTGTGTAGGAGAAGGGCGACATGTTCTTATCCACGAATGTGCCAAAGCCAAGGCGGAAGTTGCTGGTGAGCTTCTTCATCTCTTCAGCCAGTTTTGTGCCCAAGTTCCGAATAGTGTCCAGGTCGTCCTTCATGGACAGTGAGAGATCCATCAGATAGTACAGATCAACAGGATAGTCTTCAACTGGCCGCACCTGCACCTCAAAAGAGGTCTGATCACCTGAGAAATATTAAAGAAAACACTGAAGGGCTCCTCCAAATAGTGCAATTTTGAAATGTGTGGCCACAAATTCTCTTTCCATATTTTTATATAGAGTTTTGAAATTTGGCAAATCCACTTCAAACTACACTCGCACACAGAAGACAGTACTAAGCGCATACCAGGCCTTAGGCTGAGAGAGATCTTCTGTGGTTGTATCTGGATGACATCATACTGGGTTGACCCAGAGCCTTTGGAGCTCAGGGCTTTGTTTTTGAGGATAGAACTGACACTCCTTGGATTTTCTATGAAACGAGCCTCGCAGCCCCTTTTCAGCAAATTCTGGCTCAAATCACACCGTGAGGTGAGAGTCCTTGCCCTTCCAAAGTCCTAAAAAAGAGAACACAGGTCCTGGTCATCCCGTATGTGAATGCAGGGATAAGTGGCAGAACAAGTCTGTGTGCAGCTTCTGAAAAGTCATAACACAACGCTGCAACATCAGTTAAGCAATGCATACTGCAAAAGGAATCCTTGAGTAAAGCCTTCAAAAGCTTACATGGGAACTGAATTATTTACAGTCCTATTACTTCAGCATGTCCTTCTGCTTGAGACTAGGGCTCTCAAACATGTGGCACTGCAGTAATGCATTATAAACCTTGCTTAGGGAATGGGTCCCTACCTCCTGAGCGCACCAGGCACAACTCGGGTGGATGAGAAGACATTCTTCACACGATGTGGCACTTCCACTCATGCAAACGTTAAGACCTGATTCCAAAAACAAAAACAAGCAGCGTTAATATGATATTATGAAGATGTCTTCTTCAGCTTTGGAAAACTGTTGTAGCGACTGATTCATATTCCAGGGTCTGGATACACCAAAAGAGTGGAACCCTTTACAATGTTTTTAAACTGTTCTCATAACTAATTCAATCCAGGTCCTGGAGCTCTACCACCCTGGAGAATCCAGATCCAACAAATCTAACTCTAATATTTAAGGTTAGAGGTCTACCTGGATCAGGTGTGACAGATCACCAGGGTGCAGGGTTGTAGATCTCCAGGACCAGGGCCGGAGACCACTGAACTGAACCTTTGTGCCCACACCAGTCCTGTAATGCAGTGGTTCCCCATCCCAGTCCTGATGACCGTTTGCTCTGCACATTTTTGTGGATTCTCCACTCTACACACCTGATCCAGCCAACAAGGTGCTTACTAATTAGCTAATAGGTTGAATTGAATGTGCAGTGTTGGGTCGCCAGGACTGGGATTTGAACCCCTGCAGAGGGCATTGCTGTGTTTTACCTGCTCCACTCCAACACACCTGACTCAACTCTTGATATTCAAAAAAAATGAAGTTGACTCGTGTGTTACAACAAGATGACTTTAAAAAAAAAAAATCAGTGCGTCTGCAGAACTGTTAATACTGCTTTAGAGAACATTTCAAGGGTTAAAAGACAACCGGTTTCAAATCAGAACGACGGGGTTAAGTGAATGATTTCAGTCCCCAAAACACCCAAAAACTCACTCACCTCTGACGCTGTGACTAATAAAGTGGACTACAATGCAAGTTAGGAGAGCTGCGCGTTGCGTGCAACACCAGAGGCTCATCATGTCAGGAAAAGTTAAGAAACGCGGCGAGTTCTAAAGCGAAGAGCTGTTGGATTTAATCACGAACGGTAAACACAATCCTTCAGGTCGAGGGTTGGAGAAATCTTCTCTCGGTCCATCCCAGCTCCAGCAAAGTAATGAACCCTCCGTAAACAGACCTCCGAGACAAACCTCTGCATGGCATTAGATCCTCTGCAGACGGTTAACGTTGCTGCTCTTTGTAGTGGAGCGGCTGCGTTAATCCGCACTGGTTCGGGATCATCATGGATTTATACACTACATTCCCGCCCTGCACTTCCATTAAAGTTGAACAAGACACTCAGAATTACTGACGTAAAGTTCATGCCGACTGTGCAAAAACCCGAAACAACCAAACAGTGAAAGTAGTGATGGTAAATACTGAGCTCCGTCTGCAGTTGTTTTTTCTGTGGAAGTTTGGCCGCTCGCCGCTCTGACTCCGCCCATCAGAGATGGCGCTGTGAGGAGGCGCTCAGTCACATTAACCCTGTCATCTGTTCACCGCCCAGCTCACTGCTGCTTTGATACTGTGTGCAGGACGGTCGTTAGCTCTATGTAGACTCACAGATTAATATCGACTACAACTAAAACATTACTGAAACCAGTACGGACTTCTTGACTTCTCACATGGAGAAATTCCAAGACTGTATACGAGCTCCTTATACAACCTTACAGACTATCTCAATCTTCAATATTTGTTAAGCATTACAGGGGAATTCCATTGTTTTTTTCCTTCATTAGCTGCATTATTTAATCTCGAAGATGTAAACTAAGTAATTCGGAGTGGTTTGGGGTGAAATGCTCCGTTCTAGTAAAACGTTTAAGCCAGACTTGTTCATAGTGGTGCTAATAAGAACAAGACCTCTGAAGCGTTTAGTGCCACTGAAAGTTACACATGATGTTATAACATTAAACGGTTATGTACACGTTGATGCCTGACACGCCGTTTTACAAGTTTTGATATCAAACCGTGGCTTACAATGCATTTTTAAAAACACATTCATGGCAGAGGGGTACATGTGAGGCAAAATAGTCCCCCCAAAGATTTTTTTTCCTGCTTAAACAGCATTTCACAATCCTCATCATTACATATAAAATCTCGACACGTGTAGGTTCACTGGTGGATTTGGATAGTAAATAAAATGACGATATCTGCGTTGTAGACATTGTGACCCCTGGTTCCTATCACCACCACTGTAAAGAAATTCAAGTTTGCAAGTTTCTCTATAAAGAACCATTTCACATCAAACCACTCTGAATAACGTTGTTTACAACTTAATTGATTAAATTATGCAGGGGTTTCGCAAATCGGTGGAATTCCCCTTTAACTGCAACATAGCAAAGGTAAAGCATGCGAGCATCTCTACAGAACAAACCTCCCCAAAACGTTTTTTGCAACCATGGTATTTCGAGTCTGTATTTCTTGGACAACATAATATCCAGTTTCCCAACTTTTTCTAAGTGCTGTTAAAATAAATTCTGTGCTCCAAACTTTCCAGACACGCGGAAATGCCCTGTAATACAACCTGCGTGAATAGCAGGCAATATAAATAAACCGCTCGATGTAAATCTAACTTTATAGTTAGGTGTAGTTTGGTTTATTTACTGGCCTCAAATAACACCATTAAAATGGGGAGCATTTGTTTTCCCTCGTATCCGTTACACACTAACTGGGGAATATTCCTCCCGCGCAGAGTCAGCAGTCACGTGATCTTCTTTAATAATACAGCCACGTGTCCAGCACAAAGGCCGTCGCATTAAAACACTAAAGCACTGGAAACACAGCTGAGTGGTACAGTACATGTACAGAAGCTTGTAGATTCCTAATCATCTAACGTTTTTTTTTCGAAGTCAGGGAAATTAACAGGGGGTTTGTCCCCCCCCTGTGCTGCAGTAACAGCCTCTACTCCTCTGGAGGGGCTTTACACTAGATGTTGGAAAATTGCTGTGAGGATTCTATTGCAAATGTATTCAGTGGTGCCCCTTCATTCCAGATAATGGAATCTATCGGCTCACAGGGCTGAATGATACTCTTGCCCCTCTTTACATCAATGTCTGTGCTTCTAGTGACCCCTGCTGAATTTCAGACAGTACCACAATCAAAAATGGCCAGTTCAAGTCTAAGGGATAAAAAGAGGCCTGGAAATGGCCTGTTTTTGGTGTATAAACACGTACGAATGTTACAAGTCCATGAGTCTGCAAGTCTGGGCAAAGCCAGATATTTATTAGTGGGCTTTTGTAACATTTTTACATGACTATTTCCCAGCCTCTCTTTATCCCTTAGAACTGAACAGGCCGTTTCTGATGCTGTGCTTTTAAGAGTGGTATATGTAAATGAGCTCTCCTCTGATTGGCTACCCAGTATTGCGCTGCATTCAAAAAGTGGCCCAGACTAAAACATTCCTCATAACTTTAGTGTGAATGGGCAAAGCTATAGTACTGTAAGACGAATATGGAAGATTCATGAAAACGTTGGTTTTCATGACATTACAAACAATGAATTAAAATCAGGCTGTTTCTGCAACTTGGTTTTCATAGATGGAATCTTATAGAGGAGTGAATGCTGTGTTTTGAAACTTGGGCATTGTTTACATAATTCAAACTCCTATTTAAAAAAGAAAAGAAAGAAAGAATCCAATCTTCCACAAAATAGGCCCTTTAACCTGCACAATACAGACAACGTAAATTGTGCTGCAAGTCTAATTCTGCCATGCATCCAGTCTGCAAAGAGTCCACTCAGAATGCAGACTTTAGTCTTTGCTTGTGGAATAACCCTAAACATCAAAATGGGTGCGATGACAGTGAAAGGGGCGCAGCATAGATAGATAGATAGATAGATAGATAGATACATAGATAGATAGATAGATAGTTGGACAAAAAGGGCAACAATATACCACAACCACTAGCATTTCATATTACGACTACAGACCATGAAGGTTGTCCTTAACTGAACAGTAAGTTGTACACAATTAGCCTACAAGCACTCCTAGCCACATAGTGTACACAGTCTACTGTACTATATCTAAATTTTTCATTAACAAATCAATATTTTAACTATGCTTCCCCGGAGTGTAATATCAGTGTCTGTTAATACAGAGTTCCTATCCTGTGACTTTAAATTCACATAAAGCCAGCTTGACCCTTCAAAATTCACCTTCATTATTCATAGTACTAAAATTGTGCTCATTCGGTTGACTTTAAAACAGAATTCATAATGTAGTCCCTGATGTACTGTAGAGAAATTTATGTTCTCTATTTAGTGATTAGATTGCTGCAGCCATAAATGTTCATGTCCAAATTGGCAACTTTTCTACCTTTGAAAAATACAACCACTTAGAAAAAGAAAAGTCATGCTACAAAAGTATATAACTTCAGTGCCGAACTGCTCCACTTATGGCAAAAAAGGTAGTACACCAACTCCCTCCACTGACTGAGTAGGGAGCAGAACATTAAGCAGCATTTAAAATGAATGCTCTGAAATAACACAATATTACAGTGAAATACAGAAGGATTTATTGGTAATGCAAAATAAGGTCAACAGTGCACAAAGACATAATACTATTGCCTGTTTTACTTCAAAACAATAGTCTCAATGTTCTGATTTTGATGGCTGTTCTACTTTACACAGTATTGAAGACTGAAGATCAAATATAAATGAACAATTTGCAATAGCTTTGTTTTAACTTAAGCCTGAGTCTATAGGTAGCTTTTTCTAGGTAAATGAAAACACTTTAAACAAATATTTAGATTGTGCTCTTTTCTTCACAACCAAATTAAACATGTAAAAGGTACTCAGAAAAGGAATAAAATTCCACAAATCAAAATGGCTCATCCTATTACAAGGGCACTGACTCAGTTAGAGAATTTTAAAGCAAAGGAAATGTGACCTTTGCCCCACTCATTTTGTTGCGGCTTGCTGAGTGAGAAGGTCAGAGGCCATGTCCGCTATAGCTTTCAGGGGTAGGCCGCTAAGGGAGCCCTGGTGCTTAGCTCGTAACTCCAGCAACGCAACAACGATCCTCTGTCGGCTCACCTTCGGGTGACGCTCCGATAAGCGGGCCATGAGCGTGTCAAAGCTGCCCATGGTGGCATAGTGCTGTGGCACACAGGTACCAGATGCAGTGGGCTTACTGTCTATATTGATCAGCCTGTCCAAACTGCAGCGGAGTGGCTTAGAAAGGAAAAGTAAAGAGAGGAGTGTGACTCAGTGCTTAACTACACATGCTTGAAGTATGAACTATTAAATCCCACACATGCATGCCATTTATAACTAATCTAAGAATGCTTTCACATTAACCTTTTTCAGATCAGTTCATTTTGATGGGTCTGGACACGCCACTGGTACTCCAAAAAAAAAAAATCATTGTTTTCTGTCCCTCTAGTATCAGAACATGGTTTTTCTAATTGCATGTCCGTGTGCTACTGTCCACATAATCTGCCTGTTTTAAGGTGTGACTCTTTAGAGACACTTCATTCTTATAGTCCAAGCTACTGCTACTTACAAATGAGCTAGAAGTAGTCAATGACAATTTTATGGTTAATAAAAGTTAGTGAAATATTAGGCTTGGCTTATTATAGAGATCAGTATTTAAAAGAACACTGACTAACTGCATGTTTCATTGAAAATTGCTCATAGTTAGTCTTTAAGTGGATTTAGTGCAGTGCAGTATATAGAATCCATTGTGCCTAGAGTTTTTGATGGTGGTTTTGAGGAGAGGAAAACACACACACACACACACACACACACACACACAAAACAAAAATGGCACTACTAGTGCATTGTCTGGGTGTCAAAATATTGTATTGTGATTTTTTTGCCATATTGCCCTCCCAAGACAAGGTATTTGATCTTGGCACATATACACGCATCCATCTATACATACAATATACTTTTGATGGCTTTGGCCAGACACCACCACCCTGACTGGTTAAATTCAACCTGATATGCTATTAAACCAATGAAATAAAAAAGCAGAAATCAAGTATGGTTAATTTTTATTACTCACATTCTGACACATCTAAACATTAAGCATCTACTTTCATGCAACCTAACGTTGAATTCAACTGTTTATCAAGAGTATGTGATTGACTGAGCTGCAATACATACAATGATCGATTCGTCAAAGTTAATACTTACAATTGGCCATGTTTTGGCACTACATGATGGGTAACAATGCGTATGCATCCCCCACCAAATTCTTTGACCAATCAAAGAGCACTCACGTGTAAATTGGTGCACCCTGGTGTGGACTATCGTAAACAAATTAGGTGTAAGAACACCCTTAGAAAAGTCTGATCTGTTATACTCACTCTGGAGCACTGGAAATCATTCTGTAAGCCATGCATGCGCAATTCTTCCCCTACAGGCCCGGCTTTACAGGCAGCTGGGAAACATTCAGCACAGGGCACTTTGATGGGGCCCTGACCGCCTGCTGCAGACCTGTGGATGTGTTCCACATGGAGAGTGTGGCCTCGAATGGATTGACCATTCATCTCCCTTACTGCTTTCTCTGCATCACTGGGGCTTTTTACAATCACTACTGCAGCCCTATGGAAACAAAAACACGGAAGACAGAGAAATTTAAGGCTAAATCTGGTTCAAACGCTGAGCATACCTTGTTTTTCCAAATCAACATCTTAAGACAGTTTGAATACTGTGCATAATCTGTCACTAGCTTTGTTCCAATGTATGTCCAGAATTAAGGCTTTAGATCTTCAAAAGGTTTTACCTGTTTTTGTTGAAAGTGGTGATGGTCACTTGACTGGCATGAAACCGCTCAAACCAAAGCAGCAAATCACACTACAATGAGCACATTATTTAGTGAGTTCTGCTGCCCTCTGGAGGACATTATCATTAACTACACTAGTCCATGGGCGTCATTTGATTTGTTGAGATACCAAGTTAATAACATACTGTCCAAAAGTATCTAGACACCTCTTCTAATTAGTGAGTTCAGCTACATTTAAAGATGCACCAACTGCTGACACAGGTGTCAACTGCACACACACAGCTTGTACAATCTCCAAAGAAAAGCACTGCCAATAGAATGGAACACTGAAGCAGCCACATGAACCCAAGATCATCATGCCCAGTGCCATGCACTGGAAAGAGGTGTATCAAGCCCCCCAGCACTGGGCTGTGGAGCATTGAAACTGCATTCTTTGGAGTGACTGAGCACCAATGAACACCGCTTGGAGTGTCATTTATGACCCAGGACTAAATCAGTACTTGACCTCAAGCTCTTACAGCTGAAAGCAATCAAATCCTCACAACAATATTCCAACATCTAGTATAAAAGCCTTCCCAAAAGAGTACACACTGTTACTGCAGCAAATATAAGCACAAGTACCTATAAATACCCCTGATTTAGAAATAAAATCAAAAATAGATGAGCAGGTGTCTACAAACTTTTGGACATAATTTCATATTGCACTATGATTATTTGAATTTTACTATCATCAGTCTCACACCTCAGTAACATTACTTGGTAGGTCAGTGACATACAGCAAGGAACTTTGATCTGCATTCCCATCTCTGTCACCTAGAAAAAAAAATGCAAATGAAATCAGGACAAGAGCAGTATCTGGTAATGTAGACTTTCAAGCAAAAAGGCAAGAGGAGGGCATTACAAAAAAAAGTGACTGCACCTTTATGTTCCATCTTTATGTCCCCTCTGTCATTCTGTCCTGTTTGTTTCTTCTCCTTAGAACACCGGTTATCACACCCAAGCTCTTCCTCTGCGTCAAACCACGCCTCACTGCTGTTGAGGTCTTTAAGAACACCTTTATGAACATACACAAATCACTTATTAAAAGATGCAGTGAATTTAGCTATATTCACAGAACCTTTATTTGTATTTTTGCACTGATGGTGATAAAACTAATGGTCACAAATTTTCACTAACTCCCTTTTAAAAAAAAAATAAAAAAAAATTTACTTAGTGGTCAGTACACATCCCCTCAAAAAAGTGCCCATGATCACATTACAATCAATATTCCTTTTTAAATATTAACCAAATCTATTACTAAATTTATTGTTACAGTACTGCCATGATATATGTTAATGTGGCTTTTAGTGTCATACCAGGCTTAGTGTCACTAGAGACCCCCGATTCCTGGTTAAGGACATACACAGCTCTGCATCTCTTACTGCTGTCACCTTTAGATTCGAATGATGTGGCAGCGTTATCCTGTCAGTTTCATCCAGGAGCAGAGAGGAAAGAAAAGAAAAGCATCTCAGAGCCAATACTTCTCAATACTTTTATGAAACAGTACACAAGGATGTTCATACTTAAAATTTCTACACAAAGATGGAGCTGCTCTGTGACTCACGGCAGAGCTGGTGTAAAACTGCCTATCGAAGTTGTACGACCAGATTTGTTAAATTATAGGGATACCAGCCACCAAAACCTAGTGTTTAAAAGGGGAGCTAGGCCTCTGCACTCAAACAATACCTGCTCAGTGGCAGGTCTTCGGAGATACTTATGAACAACATGAAGCAAGGGCAAACAAATTAAGCAAAACCTACAGTAGTAGAACGAAAACGGACGATGAGTGTAGACACAATACCTAATTAAGCAGCTTATCTGTATACAACCCACCTCCTGGAGATCTACCTTGCTGCAGAATTTAGTTCCAACCTGCATCTAACAGCCTGCCCTCTCCCCACACCTACACTAAGGTATCTGATCCAGCCAATCAAGGACATTTGAAGTTGTTATTTAGCTGGAGCAGGTGTGGTAGAAGGTGGCTCGAGCTACAGTCCACAGATAGGTAGATCAGATCTCTAGGACCAGGGATGGTGACCACTGGTGCACACTAACCAAAGAGCCCCACCATCAACTGCTGCATTACTGCTTTGCTTAGGAAAGCCTGTTCAGTAATCTTTGTTCAGGTTTCAACCATGTGATCAAACCTTGGTCTCTTTCTAATGTGCAGATCTACACCATCTGCTGGTTGAATTTAATATTTTTAATAAGAATTTCACCATAGGGTTTTTTTTTTTTTTAATAATGAATTAAAAAAAAAATAAATCTTTTTCCAAAACCGCAACCATACAGTAGGTACAGACACAATATTGAATTGAAGATTAAACTACATTTTAACTACAGAAACCATGGCTTGGTGTTGATGCCATTTGTGGGAAGTGATACTGAAGTCATCCATGTGAGAAACTTTAGTCTATTTTGGGGAAACACTCATAAAAATGTATGTCTGTCTGTTACTATAGTTTTGTCAGTGTTGAAAAAAATGACAGAGTCAAATATAACAAAGTGGGGGTGACATGGAAAGTCATGTTATACAACCTGCTACATGCACCACTTCCAATTCATTGTGAACCTATGTTTTCAATGCAAACAGCAGAGAGAGATCAGATGACCTTCTTTCCCTATGAAAAATTCTTGTGTACACTGTAAAACCTGGGGTGAGGTAGCCTTTTTGAGCAATCCTCCATCTATGGTTTCCATGTTAAAGACCTGACTGGCTTGGTCAAGCTGGTCCTCAGCATCAAGATCACCAGAGCTTTCAACAGACAAAGTTAAAACATTAAAATGAGTATGTAATCTAGAATGAACACTCCATAATAAAAAGACAACCTGAAAACAATTAATAAATAAAGGGATTCATAACCTCAGAATAAGATGCACCTACCTGGACGTCTCCTTAAGTGGATCTCCTCCTAAATAGGCCTCAAAAACCTTAAAAAAAACAAACAAAAAAATTGCTGACACATTGAAGTCCTTTAAGAACTTTTTTTAGGATTTTAAAGGCACATGTGAACTCCCCACCAAAGCAGGCCTGTAACGTGTTCCTGTAGTTATTCTGCAAGTGTCCACAGACAATGGCTTAAGGTCATCAAGGTGAATCCCTCCCAAGATCTTCCTCTTCATCTTGAGGTAATCATCCTCCAGTGTCTTGAGGGTCTGCAACATCACACCTGGCAGTGCTTCAGTCCTGTAGAAAGATAGGAACACTTATTTTAGGTGAAGTGAATCAATATCCAACCTGTGATGGGCTCATTTTTGATTATCTTATGGCAGTTCCATACTGTACAGACATTTACTTAAATTTCTGATGTAGCTCTTACATTCTTTTGAACAGAAATGCTTTACCTCTGAAGTGCAGTCTCACCCAGTGGAGACGTGTAAAAGCACCTCCAGCAGTGCTGCTGGCACATGACAAACTGCAAAGCCAGTAGATGCAGCTCAGCCCGTCTTGCACGATGGACAGCATCACAACCACAGTCATTCCTCTGCCTCGTGCTGCCAGGCCCTTCGTCACAGCCTGGACTGGATTTGACATTAAGATATTTAGCTTCGGTGCCTATGAATTCATATTTTCACCCACATATCCAGTTAGCCAATGTGTCTGATCACCCCATTAAGGATCAAGATTATAAAAGGGAACACATGTCGGCCATTTAATCACATTTAAAAAAGAAAAAATCTGATTTGAGCATATCAGACTGCCTTTTAAAAACTGCCAAAGAAATGTTAAATACTAGATTAGTATTTATGAAATACGACTGAATTATAGCTCTAATGTCAGCCACTGCTGAATACTCTGTTACCTTGCAATTTTCTTTTTCAAATATTTCAGTTCCTCTTCCATCATTTTCAGGTACTCAAATTCCTGAACATGGAATATGTTTTAGTGGGTTAAATAAGGTACTATATTTTTCACTTGGAAATTCCATATAAATATGTACTTAATGTCTACCTCAGAAAGAACATCCAGGTCAGACATGCGGACTTCAGTAATGACACATTTCTCAGAAGTGGACACTTGAAGTGTCTGTGTCTCCTGCTCACAGTTAACAGTGAATGACTCAGTACCAAGAGCGACATCTCGGCAAGGTTTCACAAAAGTGTTCTGGCCAACTTCTGTTGCCTGAGTAGATGTAAAGCAAGACCTGAAGTCACCAGTGGCATCCACTGCCTTGCTCACGCTAAGGGGAAAAGGAGTACCCTCACATTTCTGACATGATCTGGTGGACTTGATGTTAAGCTCACTCTGGCCTGAGGGCAAACAAGTCTCCACAGATGCAGACACCCTTGCAGGAGTACACTGTGTAGAGCCAGAGCCTGATCCTGACAAACTGGGATTGCTGACAAGTGCTCCTGAACTTGAAGGACCTTCATCAACTACACTATGATATTCATCTGTCTTTGGATCACATCCTGAGTCATCCTCATTGCCGAGGTCTTGGTAATCCTCTGTGTAGTCTGTCCACTCAGAGGAGTTGCAAGATACAGAATCAGGAAAGGTGCAATTCTCAGGACCAGGAGCAGCTGGATTCTCTACAGGCTCATCAATGCTGGACACTTCAGTGCTGTCTTTAGTGGCCATTAGGGAGTCACTGTGGCCTGGCTGCAGTGACTCAGTGGCATCACTCCATTGAGCAGATGTTTGCTCCAACCCAGTGCTGTTCAGACTGTAGTACTCCGGTGGGGTTTCCTGATTTAAATGAGGAAAATCTGCACTGGTGTCAATGAGAGCATGTCCTTGGTCTTGGTCACTCTTCTGCCTCTCAAGCTCCATGTCCAGTGAGGAGTTTGCCTGTGGCACGGGATCTTTAAAGACTTTGACATCAGTCCCATCATTCCACACGCCTTCCTCCCACAGCTGAGACAAATACTGTGCCTCAGTAGAGTATGTCTCCTGCTGGTATGGACTGTTCTGTGCTACATGGGTATCATCTAAAGCTTGCTGGCACCTGTTTGCAGAGGCGATCCAAGGAGCAGACGAAGTATCTGAGGTGTTCTTAATGTAGTCTAACTGGTCAAGGCTCCTCATGGATACTTTATTTCTTTCAGCTTTCAAGAGATTCAGCTCCTCTTTCACGCTGTTTGGTAGCAAGCCGAGCGATTTTTCTTCCTCTAAATATAGACACAAAAATGTTACAAGTCCTCAGCAGACAGACTGGCTAGAAAGGAGGTAGGTTCAATTATTCTCTTCTGACTTCTATCTGCCATCTCTTACCTGATATGCAAACGTTTTTCTCCGGGTTTAAGATGGGTGTGTTACAGCGTCTGCATTTCTTTGCCCCAGATGAACAACTTGTACCACAGTTTAGACACTGTAATGTACCATAGAACATGGGGTGTCTTGATCTAGACACACATTATGCAGATGCAACATAAGCATCTTCAGCACAGCAGTTTCAAAAATTTTTTAGTTTTAAGCAATAAATAAAAACATACTTGTTGAGTTTTGATGACATATCAGTTGATGGAAGAGCAATGTGGTTTCCTAGAACCTGCTCTAAAAGGATATTGAAGGATTTTAAACCTAGTCCGCTTCTGTTCACATAGTTTATCAATGGAACTGAATGAAAACTGATTAATTTAACTTACGTTTCAAGTGAACAATATGCCTAGTTACTTCAAGAGCAGGATGTCTTTGCAGAAATTGGAAAAATCCTCCTTCTTCTGCAGGCAAGATAGTGTTATACAGATTCATATGTCATGACAAAAACAAGTAATAATGAGGAACTACGCAATTTATCCAAAGAAACACACAACCATGACATTCACAATCAGTCCAACCTTGTATCAGTTTCCGGTCTTCTGCTGGTAGGGAAAGATACCAGCCAAGCAACTTTGGATCGGTCAACTCCAGAAAATGACTGACATTTATGAGATCAAACACAGACCTACAAGAAGCATGAGGAATCCCATAAGAACAATGAAGTATATTAATTTACTTCATATTATTGTGCAAACGTTCACCTGGTTACAACACTGGTGAGATGTACTGTTTCACATCTGAGCTCTGAACTAGTTAAGAGAAGAACCTACTTGTTCAACAGGAATTTCCTTCCATCCTCCACATACAAGGGACAGTCTCGAAAACCTTGGAATACACACAAAACACCAATTTTATATTCAGTTTGTATGTACCGTCATGTTTTTAACTTCGCATAAACACTTTATATTTACAAAAATGCATCTTTCACTTGAAAAAACAAAATATTTCAGTTTAGTATAGAGGTTAACGGCAGTATTATGCAGTAAGTTAATTCTATTTTACAGTCATATTTAGCCCCAAAAGCCAAAAGAAACACTGCACAAATGGAGGAACAGTAGCGAGCTAAGGCGTGTGCAGGTCAATTCTGGAAACTGACCACTAGCAAAGCTAGCAACTGTAGTTAGAGCTAGCCTACCATCCTAGCCAGCTACGAGCTAATAAATCACACCGTGGCCGCTGCTAAAGCCCGTTATACACCGGCTTTTAGCAGCGGTACATATATGTACATTTTTTTACACTTTACACTTTTTTTGTACAAAAACCTTTTTTGGAGGGGAGGGATTTCGCCGCGTTGTTCGCGCCGCGAATACAAAACACGAAACACACAGGCAGAATGTGACGAAAACCACGGCTAATTTGCTCCCCACAACACGGTAAACAGCGATGTTTAGCAGGCTACATTACATTCAACAAGGGCCAAAGGAGCACGGAGAGTTTCACCGTTTCATTCAGGAGCTTGAACTTGATATGTGCTTTACAGCTCTGATGCATGCGGCCCAGTCTGAGCTGATTTTGGGGAGAACCTAAAGCCCAAATGAAGCAGAAGACAAATTAATCCTCCAACGTGTGTCGAAAAGTGCGGGCTGCTCAGCCGATCAATTCTTGGTTGTTGCTATGCCAACCTCAGAAACAGCAGTGTGGGCTCATGGCTGTATCTGAAGGCAGGAAGCACTCGCTCACATCCTAATCAAATTAGGGCGGATCCCAAATATTCGGTTCGTTCGTTAGGTAGGTATTAGGATTTAATTTTTGCGACTCGGATATTCAAGTTTTTTGGCTAAATGTTGGCTATCAATAAGTGCAAACTGCAAAATCTGTAATGTCGGGATTCTCGGAAGAAACTTAGACTCGGGGTTAACGCAGCTTTATTTTTACTTAACTTACCGTTAAGTTAGCTGATAACGGCGCCGAACACGGCCTCGCCAGAACTAACGGCTAAAAACACAGCCCTCTGCTCTGCCTCGATAACCCACCACTCCATCCGTATTCAGGCTTTTTAACATAAAAGTCCTTGTATAAATTAACCTAAAACAGATCGATATAACGCTTCTTTTTAAATGCACTGTTAAAATGTGGAACGTAACACTAACGCGGTGCTAGACAGCTTGTATTCCCAAGGCGGCTACAAACAGTGCCCCGCCACACTGGACCCTTACCTTGGAACCTATGCCTTTAGTACCTGGTGTTAGTCCCGCTGCGTGCACGCACTGTGCTGTTACCCTGCTATTCCGCCGCTAAGAGCAGCTAGTGGGCCTGGTAGACGGAGCCGCGCTATGGGCCCCCCTAATATGGGTACAGTCAAACTTACCTATTATTCCGTTCGTTGCAAGGTACAGTTGTTGTTCAAACGGTCTCATCTGCCACATCATTGTGGTAGACACATCTGAAGGTCTGCGTGAGTAGGGCTCTAAGTAACACGGCACCAAGACCGACGGAGGATACCACATGATCTAAGTGTTAAGAGACACCACTTTCACTTTAAATCCACTACCACTGGGTTTATCCCAAATAAACCATATATAGTTAAGGAATGTCGCTGGACCTATTTACTTTTATGTCGATTCAACAAAGCCACTAACAAATACGAGTCATTTTAACCATTTTTAAATCTCACCTTCAAGTCCCTCCCCATCAGTCCACTAAGTAAAACTAGCCACGTGCACAGGGCACGTGCTTCAAGGGCCAATGAGATTCAATTATTAATTTAGCCTGGAATCCAAGTTGTAATGGGCGTTATCGGGCTACTGCACCGTGCAGGTTATTAAAAGGGAATTCCACCATTTTTCCGAATTTCTGAATAATCCAGTCCTTGACATATAAAAAGTGTCATTCAGAGTGGTTTGATGTGAAATGGTTCTTGGTAGAGAAACTTACCAATTTGGATTTCATTACAGTGGTGGTGATAGGAACCAGGAACACAATGTCTACAACACAAATAAAAACATTTTATTTACTATCTAAAACCACCAGTGAACCTACACATATCCTCTGAGTTTTTATATGTAATGTTGATGATGGTTAAATAGTCATACATCTAAAAAAGCTTTTTTAGGGACTATTTTGCCTCACAGTGCCCTGCATGTACCCCTCGGTCATGAATGGATTAAAATAAATGGATTAAAATATATTTTAAGCCAACATTTTATCACAAAACTATCATAAACCGACATCCCAGACATCAGGCCGAATGTATTTAACCATTTCATGTAATAACTTTGTGTGAGGGAGCTTTTAGAGGCATTAAACTCTTCAGAGGTCTGGTTCCTAATACCACCCCTGTGAACAATTCTCGCTAAGTTTCTTCAAAACACTTTGAATGACTTTATTTACATCTCGACCATTTAATTATATAGAATTTTAAAAAATCGGTGGAGTTTCACTTTTATAAGAACAAAGCAAAGGTAAATAGCTAACTGGCTTCATATAGGCCTAAACTAAACTGCGTGCAGTTTCCCAAAAGCATCTTAGCACATTTGTTAAATGGTGGCGTGAGTATCACAGTGAACACTCTCTCTCTCTTAGTTAAGATGATCCTAACACCAAGATGCTTTTGGGAAACTTGGCCCAGATTATTCATACCAGACATTTTTGTGCATCTAGGGTATGCAATCTTAGCGGTTCTATTTCACTAGAACTGCATCAGTGTATGTATAGTAAAGAAAACGTATGTACATGTAGAAGAAAAGAGCTGGAGAAAAGTCTTTCTTTCGTAGTCCATAAAAAACAGTTAGCTAATGTTATCTTGCGAATTGATAACTTTTCAAATAAGCGAGGTACAACAACAAGTTATAACTTATTAGTATGATTACTATGTTTTTTTTAAGTGCCACATAATTTCCCACATTGTTTAATTTCTTGCTCTAAGTCTAATTTTTTAAGTCATCCTTATACAATGGAGTCACAGTCAGATATTTTGAAAGGCTGAATGTAATAAATTGTAAACAGTTTGAAAAGAGTGAATAATTACTACATAAATCAAAATACTAGATTAGTTATTTGAATCTCAAATCCCTCAGAGATGCTAACAGCTTGTGCTAACCTAAGTTGCAGTGAAGAGGTACCGGCAGAAATTAGCATTAATGTTTGCAATAGTATTTTGATAAAAAAAAGGATACTCATAAAATAAGTGGTTATGTGTTAAACACTGCTGTGTAATGATCCACAATGCATGCCTGGTGAATTGTAGTATGACAAAAAGGAAAAGTGAAATGACTGGTATATCCTATGCTTAAACTTATTTTTGCTGGTACAGTACTGGTGCTGGTATATTCCATGCTTTATTTTACGTTCGCAGCTCTTGGTAAAAGTTGTGGTGCTCTACTGCCTGGGTGCTCGATTCCAGTAAAGGTTGCAAATATGCATATGTGATGATTATACAGACAGAGAGCAGTATTACATTTTTATTAATAATTATTTATTTTTTTATTAATTTTATTATTAATGCCTTAAAATGGGGACTGTGTGCAACAGTAGTGTAATATAAACATATATAAACCACATTATCATCATTTCCTTTCAGATTCTATATGCTAAAGTACCAAAGGTCTGACACCTGTTCTGAAAAAAATCTAGGGGAGACAATGTAACTTGTAGGAAGTATTTCAAATCATACAGCTCTCTTTGGTTCACACCACTGGGGGTGATATGAAATGAGGCAGAAGGCATTCTTAATCCATAGGGTTTAATATGATGTTGGCCCACCCTTTACAGCTATAACAGTTTCAACTCTTCTGGGAAGGCTTTCCACAAGGTTTAGGAGTGTGTTTATGGGAATTTTGACCATTCTTCCAGAAGCGCATTTGTGAGGTCAGACACTGATGTTGGAGGAGAAGGCCTGGCTCGCAGTCTCCGCTATAATTAATTCCAAAGGTGTTCTATCGGGTTGAGGTCAGGACTCTGTGCAGGCCAGTCAAGTTCTTCCACACCAAACTTGCTCATGCATGTCTTTATGGACCTTGCTTTGTGCACTGGTGCGCAGTCATGTTGGAACAGGAAGGGGCTATCCCCAAATTGTTCCCACAAAGTTGGGAGCATGAAATTGTCCAAACTCTCTTGGTATGCTGAAGCATTAAGAGTTCCTTTCACTGGAACTAAGGGGCCGAGCCATATCCTGAAAAACAACCCCACACCATAATCCTCCACCAAACTTTACACTTGGCACAATGCAGTCAGACAAGTACCGTTCTCCTGGCAACCACCAAACCCAGACTCGTCCATCGGATTGCCAGACGGAGAAGTGTGATTCGTCACTCCAGAGAACACGTCTCCACTACTCCAGAGTCCAGTGGTGGCGCTTTACACCACTACATTCAACGCTTTGCATTGTGCTTGGTGATGTAAGGCTTGGATACAGCTGCTCAGCCATGGAAACCCATTTCATGAAGCTCTCTATTCTTGAGCTAATCTGAAGGCCACATGAAGTTTGGAGGTCTGTAGCGATTGACTCTGCAGAAAGCTGGCAACCTCTGCACACTATGCGCCTCAGCATCCGCTGACTGCGCTCTGTCATTTTACGTGGCTTACCACTTCGTGGCTGAGTTGCTGTCGTTCCCACTCGCTTCCATTTTGTTATAATACCACTGACAGTTGACTGTGGAATATGTAGTAGCGAGGAAATTTCACGACTGGACTTGTTGCACAGGTGAGATCCTATTACGGTACCACGCTGGAATTCACTGAGCTTCTGAGAGCGACCCATTCTTTCACAAATGTTTGTAGAAGCAGTCTGCATGCCTAGGTGCTTGGTTTTATACACCTGTGGCCATGGAAGTGATACTTTTGGCAATATAGTGTATCTATAGGTCCATGTATTAAGATAAAAAAAACACACAATCCTGAATTTAATTTTTTTTTTCCTTGAGCAAAAGGAATATATGTGATTTGCATTAAAGACTTTTTTAGGCTGCACAAAACAACAGTTTTACATATATTATTTATAGTATAAATTATTGTTACAAATGAAATGGTAAATATTATTTGCTACTCAGTTGTGACTGTTTACATTATATGAACCTTAAATATAATGTACTTTAACTTTTATAGTAAAATAATCACAGTGTATCTGTCAGTGTTGAGAAGTAGTGAACTACATGTAATTAAACTAAATTAGTTTAACTACATTTTGCAGTAGCTTGCTTGTAGTTTAACTACATTCATATTTGCATAGTGATTCAAGTGGTAAAAGTACTTTTTTGTGTATTACCTACTGAAACAATTTTGGTTCATAAAACGCTGACATTCCTTGCATTTTCCCATGAATAGGGGGCTTTTTTTTGGTTTATGTATAAGCCGTGAAAAGGTGGTCACTTTTTGCAATTAACTCAGTTATGTGCCATTCTTTGCTGGCATGTGACTTCTTTGTATTATATTGTGTTATTTGATTTTTATCACAAATTAGTTTGAACTACTTTAAGCAGATTTGGTTAACCACTAAAATCTGTGCATTTTCATCTTCTTTTCTTACTCTTATCTTTTATTTATATGCTATAGTGAGATAAACAATGTGCCTATGTACATAGTGACAAAATAAAACTGACGAAAGTTCACATAATTCACGTATGAAAATGGTGAAAACACTAATAAATTAAGTGGAGCGCTGCGTGTTGTGTTAGCAGCACCACATCGTCGTGCTTCATTCGTATCTCTCGAGGCTGATTGCTTCAGGAATGTCCGTTCCGCCTTAAATAGTGCGGCATTGACACGCTAGCGATCGAACAGGCGCCTGAGTGTAAGCGCTAAGATTACATCATTTAAGGTGGAACGGGAAATGAAAATAAGAGGCTAACTTCAGCTCTATCAAATCTCTATCCACAGTACGGGGTACAATCAGCAAACCAGGGCTCTACAACTTAAGGTGGGGCCACTGGTTTAACCCCTAAATTGCTACATATACACACTTGCATGTAACGTGCATAGTTTGAGTGTTCCGCTCGGAATTTGCTCGCAAATTTCTTAATATCGTAGCAACCCTGTCAGCGCTTCTGATTGACTTACGCGCTTTCTCTGTTTGGGTCCTGAACACAACATGACAGACAACTGTCTCAAACAAACCCATCCATCCATCCATCCATCCATCCACCCATCATCTAAACCGCTTATCCTTCTGGGTCGCGGTGGGGTGCTGGAGCCTATCCCAGCTGTCATTGGGCTGAGTCTCAGACAAACCGCGATGTCTTAATAGTCTAACCTGTAATATTTCTCTCCTATAGATTTGCACTGACGTCTTAAGAATAGGGAACAAAGCGCGTCCCGTATGAGTTCAGTACGGAACACGTCTCAGAAGGAGCTACTTACAGCCATCTGGAGCTTTAGTTTAAGCTAAACACGACCCATTGGTTTGTGATAGCTACTTCTACTAACCACGTCTCGCAGATCTATGGTCGATTGTTCCTTGCTTCTGCCAGTTCTGTGCCTTAGCAGAAGGTAATAGCTTCCCCTTGGCTAGCAGCAGGGTCCTCTCCTAGCCACACTGTGTGGAGATAGTTGCCTAGCCTACACCCAGCAGCTTAGCAGAAGATATCTGCATCCTCTCAGAGTTCCTGTTGGTTTTTGAGAAGCTATCTGTACACCTTAACTAACAGCAGCCTCCTCATATAAGAGGTAAACTGAAAAGCGGAGAGGGGCCTGTAAATTGGCTAAGAGACAATAAAAACCAAAACAAAACCAAATAAAAATAAAATAAAAAACACTAGCTATCTATAATCTCTATGACATAAAACCAAGTGGCAAGAGGCAAACAAGGACTTAAAGCTCTGTCACTGTTCACTGTTGCTACTGTTGTTTGTGTTTACTAGTAATGCTAGATGTGTATGTGAAATCAAGTGACCACACAAGCTACAGAGAACTCCGTCTACTTCCTTAATCCTGTTGTCTGATGGTAAACAGACACAGGTACTCAAACAGGGTTCTGGGTTCAGATATGTAACCGCACTGTACTGCACTTCACAGTGGAAAAATGCTGTTAATCCAGCCAGTGGTAGCCACTGGGGTCAATGTATTCCCACAGTATTTCTACATCCACTGCTGAAAGGTGTTTCACTGGCAAATATCTGTGTCAGCAGCTACTTGGTCATCCTTCACATTCTCTTAATTGTAAAGTCAACATGACCTCCCCCTGTACAGCAGGCTGGCAGCCAAACAGAAAGCAATAGAACACTAGCTACTAATATAAGAGTCCCTAGATGACAGTCAGTAACTCTGTATCTGTGAAGATTTCTAGCAGACACATTCTATGTAGACCACAGATATATACAAAGAATTAGATTGATGATGTCACTATATACACAGTGAAGTGTAGCCACTTGGCCGCCATACTGGTACTCCCTCCTTATGTCTATGTCTAAGGACGCAATGTCAGCATATTTCCAAAAATTGCAGGTATAAGAAGTTGCTGAGGTGTACTGCATTTTCCTGCAAAATGCTTAATTTATGGGTCAAGGCATTTCCTGGATAAGTTTCTTTTATTTTTTTTCATAACTAATATAAAATGTACTTTATAGGGATGGCTGTAGCTATTTGAATATGCTTTTCCAAATTTATCTTAGTATCCATCTTGTTTTGTTTTGGTATCTGGAAAAGGTAGTTAGGAATAAACAATGTATTCCGTATTGCCTTGTAATGTTGAGGCCTGCCACTATTGATTATATTGGTAATGGACTGATCCAGTGATTATTTAGACAATCAATCAAGTAATTTTTATTTTTTTAACTCTTTAGACCCTAACTCTTTAGATTCCTGACACTTTCAAATGAAATGTTTATCTTAAACCAGGTAAAAATTACAGTTATAAGTTTTAAAAGCTTTAGAAAGATTTCAATTTAAAGGTGAATCCCACCTCTTTAATATGAAAACAAAACCAAGTGATAAAAATCAACACAGATCTCTCAGTCCATAACTGAAAGGGAAAATTGAAAACTGTAAAAGACCCTGCAACTATAATGTTGAAAAATTCCTAGAAATGAATTAAAATATTTACTGTAGAATTCACAGGCAAAACTGCACAATAAAGAATGTGTTACATGTAAGTCTTACGATTTGTAAATTATTTTCACCTGTATTACATTGAAACAATGCAACAGCACATTATTTGATGTTTTACCCCATAAATTTTCATTGTTTTTTCAACATAAACACATTTCAATATTGATTCTTGCAACATATTTGAAAAACATTGGAACAGTAAAGCATTTACCACTTGACTCTATGATCCTTTTTGTCTTTGGTCAAGAGCAACCATTTGCGTCCATTTCTTTTAAAAAAGACCTGAAATACTGATCTGTCTGACCACATAAATGTTTCCCCTGTGTGATGGTCCATCCCAGATGCCTCCAAGCCCAGAGAAGTCAATGCCGCTTCTGGACAAGGTTAACATAAGGCTTCCTTTTTGCATAGTAAAGTTTTCCTGACATTTGTGCTACATATAATATACTACGCATTATAGTGCTTGATAAAAGTTTGCCAAAGTAATCCTGAGCCCATGTGGTTATATTATTATAGATGAATGATGGTTCTTGATGCAGTGCAGTCTGAGGGATCGGAGAGCACAGTTATTGAGCTTAGGCTTGAGCTCCTAACCATTTACACACTGAAATTCTTTCTGATTCCTTGAAACTTTTAATTATTATGCACCGTAAAGGGGGGAAATATCCAAATCTCTTCCTATCTTTCTATACCGAACTATGCTTTAGGACCAAATCCTCATTAGACCTGTTGGGCATAACCTGTTTCAAATCACATCATTATTTCATTATTTTACCTCATTACTAGCCCTAAACTGCTAGTTTTTTTTTTTTTAAGTTTAAACATTTAAAATGTAACTTTTACTTTAAACCTTACTGTGGAATAGATCCAACATTATCCATGTCAGACTGACAAAGGAAGAAGTACAAAGGAAAAACTATGGAAATAGCACCACATGTGCTCACATATGTTTTCTGTTTGTCTATATATAGTGTTTGATGTAACGTGACCAGCATGTGTGGTACTGTCAGGCAAGACATACATTACAGCTATAATCTTTTATTGCTTTGTGACCATTTAAAGTGGCTGTTGGTTGCTGAAAGGGCTTGTTCATGGTGATTTGTCATTGTATTGCTGTTTATTGGTAAAACGAATGATTCAGTTTTCAAGAAGTCCTGATGGTTTGAATAAGAGGCTGTGTGAGATAATGTTTTTTTTGAACTGCAGTTTGTTAGTGGCACCATGTCTAACAAGTAAGATGTATGATGTTTCCTAGTTTGTATGAGATTTCTGTGACTGACCACATTTCACTTCTTACACTGTTGGTCCCTCTGTAGTTGAAATAAGCCTGACTTGATCATCTTATCTGCAGTAAATGGACTAACTTTAATGAACATCAGTGGTCCCTGTGAGGGAGACTGCTAGGCTGCGAGAGCACAGAAAATGTCATGTTTTGAAATATTAAATAACAACAAAATATTAAATTATGTGTTAGAATCACGATGATGTCTGGCTTTGGTTATATTCAGACGCATCAGAGGACAGTAGTGTAGTAATAACGACACTTGAATGCTTTGTACTTATTAAGTGCCATCAAATCAATTTCAACTCCTGGTCACCATATGGAAAGTGTTCCTCCAGAATATCCTTCCTCTATTTGAAATATTAGACTTCTTAATAGCTTGTTGATGATTCCTCTCATTGTCTTCATCCATCTTTTTGCCTCAATTGTTCCAGGCATAATTATCTTTTCCTATTAATTAGTTTCATAATATGTCTAAAATAAGAGCCTCGGTTTGGTTATCTGGGCTTTAAGTGAAAGATGAGGCTTAATTCGGTCAAGGATATTTTTGCTTGTTTTTTTTTTTTTTACTCTTAAAAATATTTGCCAACACTTCAAGTTCAAATGCATCAATATTTTTGTGTGCCACTTTTTTATTGTCCAGCTTTCACATCCATAATGAACCACAGAAGACTATAGCCTGGACAGTTTTGTTCATTGTATGTAGACACAAATCATACAATTTGAAGATTTTTTCAGGCTCCTTCATGCTTGTTCTACTGAATGCCAAACTGTGCTGCATGTCTTAATGCTGGATTCTTTGTTGTTAATAACTGATCCAAATAGGCAAAAACTGTCCACTACCATTAGTGACAAAGTTAGCAGTTTTTTGTCATAACCTTTGCTTTCTTCATGTTGAGCTGAAGTCCCATTGTTTAACTGTGTTTTTTAACTTGCATGATAAGGGCCATCAGGCCTTCCTGATTTTTTATGTGTTGCGGTTCGAAGGATATTGATGCTTATTCCACCAACCATCTTCCTCCAGTCCTGCTTCTTTTGTTTGTTGCAATATGCGGCCCTTGCCGATGTAAAATCTCCATTTTTTGTAATGACTGGAGTTTGTTGACTAGTACCTCATTAGAATGATGAGATGCCCAGTCCATAATTTTGTGGTCCACAGTAAAAGGCTTTTCTGTAGTCAACACTGCTTAGAAAATGCATGTCATAGTTGAATAAATGTATAGCAGACACTTTGCAAAGAAAGAATGTATAAAGTGGACAGAGTTCCATAATATAGAACACTCAGTGCTTTTAGGGTTATTAAAATTTCCCCTCTAACTCCCACAAAGGCTTACAACCATAAAACCAGCAGTATTTTTTTTCTGTAAAAAGATGAGCAGATGTTGAGTGGTTGCATTAAGGCAGTCAGTCTGTATGATCCACAAGTGCTGTTCACTCAGTTGCACAAAACAAAGATGGAAGTATTATATAATCCTAAATGGAGGGTTGTTTTCTGGCCATAAGGGCAGACTTGCATCAGCTAACTAGCCACATCTTGATGTAAAGATGGAACAAGCACTTCTGGGAGAACAGAGGGCCTAATGACATTGAGAAGCACTCTTTGATTCAGTGATCAAAAGCCAGGAAGAAAATCTTTGTTTTTTCTTCATAAAACATCTGGAAGTTATAACCATACCTTAATAAAAGCTAATTTCTATTTTTTCCACACAGGCCTTTTTTGAATTGGAAATGTTCTTGTGTTCATTCTTGTGAGAGGAAGTAATCTTTAGCTGAACATGAACTTCACAAAATATGTGACTAGTCACTAATTTGTAGTGTGGTGAAGTCTAAAGCAACATATTAGCAGGGTGAGAGATAAATGATGAAGGAAACCAGTGGAAGTGAAGCAGAAAGGACAGTTTATTGTACCCAGTACAGATTATAAACGTAGCAGTGTAAAGGTACACGTTGTGAAGGGAGAAGGTGAAGCCTATACAAGTGCAGACTACCCCTTAACTGGTGGAGATTAACTAGCGCCTCGTTCAATGAGAAATCTTAACATACAAGATAAATTCTCATTACAAGGTGTTGCCCTCTACCCCAGCAGAAAGGGTGTCCAGTATGCACTCACTGGTTCTGCAATGACTGCACCACAGGCATCCAGATTTTAAAACATAGGCAATACTATACAGCTGATACAATAAAATGAAACCAATGCAGACTTTGCAAAAATATATATTTATATAGGTTCATCTTTCCAAAAAAAGAAAAAAAAAAAAATGCAGAGAACATAATTTCTTCCTTGTCCAGCATAAAGCGATATGTTAGTGGATAGTTGCCAGTTGAGTACACCATGCAAAAAGAAGCAGTGGTCTTTTGTCAACTTTTAAATTGGCAGTGAAGTCCAGGAGAAGATGTTTTCACCTTATTGCATGCAAGGCCCTGGCGTTCCTGCCATCTTGGTGCATTTTAAAACTAGTACAGTGCCAAAGAAATATAAGCCAAAAATAATACAAAAACAGACTATAAACTTTGACCCTTAAATATTTTAATGCAGTCAGAGGATAAAATCCTCTTGAAAATTTGTCTAGTGCATCCCTTTTGAATATTCTTTGTGAGAAAAATCTTAATACCTCACTGTACCAAATTTATTTTCTCAGGGAGTGACAAGGCATATGGAATTGTGTTTAAGAATGAGTTAACAGTCCCTGTAATATGATCGAGTGTCCTTAAGAGTGCCACTGGTTTAGCTTCATTACAGATCAACAAATCGAGTTATCCAGCAGAGAGAGAGAGAGAGATAATGATACAAAACAACCCCACAACACTTAAAAACTTCAATGACCAAAACAAACCAACAATAGAAAACAGTATGTTTTTGTAGGAATTCAACAGGTTTGAAGCGGTCCTGCATTTAGTTGAACAAAAGTGTTGTATAAAAACCAGCTCTCTAAACAAGTCTAACCAACTCTAAAGAAACAAAATGGGTCTGTTTTTTTCCTTTGCAAAATAAAGCCCTTTTGAATTCTTATGGATGATTTAGAGGTAACACAAAACCATCAGGGCCAAAAGGGCAGCTACTGAATAGTGCTGTTTTTTTTTTTGGACACCTCTTAACATTGTCACTTCATCCAGATTGTCAAAACAGAATTGCTACAATTCTTTCAGACTGCACAGAAAGACCAGTCGGGCCTTCGGCACTATTTGGCTCCTGACTCCTCATCTTCTGAGACAACAGATACCCATCTACCGCAAGGCAGGTTGAGCCACAGGAGTCCAGGCATCCCTCACTTCCCCGACACCTTCTCATGGGTTGAAACCAGAGACCAGGTGGTTTGCAGATTTCTCCTCACTCATTATTTTTAATTTTTCAATGTTATTTTTTTAGGGGAGGGCTAATCTGTAAATGGACAGCAGGGCAGGAGAAGTTGAGGCAGTGGGGACAGACATGTTCCAGTCTGCTCAGCAGTTCAGGTTCTGTATTGGGGATGAGAGTCAGTACACATAGCCATCAGGGAAGGGCATCCCAGTTACACTTTGCTCCCCTGAATCTACCAAATAAGGGGCTCCTTCATCATAGTGAGTGAGGGGTAGCGTGTCATCGTCCACCCCAGACAGGGCGTCAGGATCAGCCTTAAGGTTGGGCCTCTGGTTGTCTGGGAAGGCCATGGAGAAGAGGGCCTCAGGGTCGCATACAAACTTGTAAACGTACCTCTCACCTGCAACCTAGAAAAGAAAAATGTAAAAATTAGAAAATGCAAATTTCTACATTTTTTCCATAAAAGGATTTGTAAACATGACCTGAGCGTCAAGGAGACTGAACATGAACCTGCTTTTACCTTCTGCATGATTCCCTTCTCATAGTAGTAGCGCAGGGAACGACTCAGCTTGTCATAATTCATGGCTGGTCTGTTTTTCTGAATGCCCCAACGTCGAGCCACCTGAAATACATACCATTTCAAATGATTTCAGAACACCATATTGAAGGACGTGTCCAAATGGACCTTGTACTTTAGATTGTTTTACTAAGACTGACCTCTTCTGGTTCAATGAGTTTGAACTCCATTCCACGCCCTGTCCAAGCAATGAAATGACCATTGGCAGGGTCATCAAGGAGAGTAACCAGAAACTGCCAGAGCTGGAGAGAGCCACGGCGCTGGTAAGGTGGGCCATCGCGATACACAGAGGGCTCTTGCTTTACCTTCCCTGTTTGCAGAGAATACAGAAAATCAAAGATGTAGTAGAGAAAGCAAATACAAGAAATCCTATCTGCTCTAATGATGTGCTGAGACAGAAATTGCTCACATATGCCTGCTAACCACACTAAGCAATCTTAACACCTTGAGTAGTCAGTCATGAGTTATGTGACTAACTGGCATGTCAGCGAGTCTCACCTTCAAGTCGCTCAGGAACCACGCATGTGTCATCGTAATATAAGTGCTGATCTCTGTCAAATGAAAAATCTACAAGGAAAAATACTGAGTAAACACATGATAAATGTGTGTATTAAAATGTCAAAGAATGAAAAAAAATAGTGTAGAAGAACATAAAAAAAAGAACATGAGTCATTCAAAGAAAAATATTTTGGTGGTTAAATGTGGTTACTTACTTTCATGGTTTTGGTAAAAGCTAGCTGCCCTCCCAAATGAAGACTGACAGTTAGGCACTTCTGAAAAGCAAAGTAAAGACACCATTAATAATAATAATAATAATAATAATAATAATAATAATACTCATTATTATTATTATTAAGAAGAAGACGACGAAGAAGATGAAGACGAAGAAGAAACAAAATGTTACAATACTAGAATACAATAATACATTTATAGTCAATATGTATGTAGAGTATGATAAACTCATACCATGCATTCATACATTTACCTGAAACCTTGTTTATATAAATCAAATACATCTAATTGGACATAACTTAGACCAGCTCATGAATACGGGCACAGATTCAATCATCCTGGAGCTTATGAAACTGACACTGACGTAACAGCTGCGCTGCAAATGTCCAGCCCACACATCTGGTGGCACTAGCTAGGCACAGATCAATGCAGCAACAACACACGCAACATTAGCCACGTCTGAGGCACCAAAACATACTTAGTATTATATATATATATATATATATATATATATATATATATATATATATACACATACATACATACATACATACATACATATACATATATATGCTCCTAAATCATGGCAAGTTTTGTTCAAGGTGCTACTGAGTCCTATCTTAAAGAAAACACTCTGCTGCAAGGAGACAAAAAGTCACTATACCCAGTTCTGTCTTATTCTGGATGTGTGATCTGGTTGCCATTCTTTTTGATGACTTAGATTAAGGAGATCTGGCAGTCTGCCGAACAGATGAAAAGGCATAGTGTCTGCAGCGTGTCCAAGTAACCACAAGCTAAGGTCTGACCAGCCGACAAGCATATTTACAGTCAGAAAGTTAAGAGGATTTTAAATTACATCACTGCCCTGCAAATATACAGAGCTACAGAGACAGTGGGACATTCCTGGAGTTTAAAATGGTTAAATATGTGGATGATAATAAAAAGGAACAGCTGTGTGTGGGTGTATGAATAAGAACTCCAGAAAATCTTAGATTAACTGTGAAAAGCTTTTTCAGTTTATTCTGTTCAGTACTTTATATGTAGAGAGAAGAGAGTGATATAGTTAAAGTTTTTGTGAGACAAAACCGTGTGAGAGCAGCGGTTGACTCTTTTCATTACATTTACAGATGTCTCACAACCTATGTCTGCTTTTTGACCTTCAAGCAAGTACATAAGTGAAAAATGCTCTGCTCAGGCAGTCTCTGCAAGTGTGAAGAATGCTGCCACGTCAGACTGCGTTTTCAAGAGTTTGAAAAGTGAGCGTTTGTCTGCACCTCACCAGGCACTGCTAAAACTCACAGATCCATGCAAGCACACACAGAAGATTCCAGGCCCTCAGCCTGGAACAAAGACAAGGCCACTGTTCTGCTCTTTTAAACAGCAGGTATTTAGTAATGCTCACCAGAGTCAAAGCAGAAGTCTCGCGGTTCTTGCTTGATGGCCATAGGGTGGAAGGCAGCCTGAGGCGGACCCATGTTGGGGACTCCTTGCTCAGCATAGCGAGGGTCCAACAGCTCCTGTTTAAAGCCCTGAGGATGCACAGGAACCAGAGGCTCTGACATCTGCCGATGATAAGGTGGCCGTCCATCTCTGGTTGAAGTGCTTGGTGCCTGGGGAATGAAGTTTGGTCTTCCCTGGGTCTCAGAAGGTGGGAATGGCAAACAAGGTTCTGAAAGCTGTCGCTGAAACCTTTAGAAGTAAATAAAGAAAGAAAGAAAATTCAGTCACCAACAACAATATCACTCAAGCAAGCAAGAAAGCAACAATTCACCAGAGGCCAAGTTCAAAGTGTGGGTCTGCCCCCTGTACAAGTACAGGGAAGTAAATATATTTGTAAAACGAGATGTCGAGGTCAAGTGATGCCAGAAAGGTATGTTAAGGGACAGCTCAGCGGACATTCTGGAGTTGCTTTTCGCTGAGCCTGGAGTTGTTGGCTCCACATTACTATCTGCCAATGACATGCCACACATTCCCCGGCATGCTCCCAGGAATCCTATTGCAGGTGGCAGGGTGGGTTGCCAACCACTCTGTTCCCACGGGGGTCAGATTAATGCACTAAAGCTACGACTGCACCACAACATCCATGTGAGCAACACCACTTGCAATTTTTTCCAACCCCATGAAGTCAGCGCTAACGAAAGGTCAGCCCCCAAAATATACACATCATATTTGTCGCACAGTTCAAAGAAGCAGATGATACGCTGGCAAAAACAAAGCATGGATACTAACAGGAGAGCTCAAATATAACTTAATCAAACCGTGTGGACACTTACCTATGCTCATTATTAAAGGGGGCATCATGGTTTAGAGGTGGACACGGCACTGCAAAAGGTGGCGTCTGGCTGTGTAGTGGGAGTGACCTCTGATTGTGGGTGGAGTTGCTCACAGCAGGCTGTCCATGAAGAGGCCTCTGGCCTAATGTAGGGTTAGGGACTGGGGGAGGAGTCTGTTCGTGCATTGGGTGTGTCCCCGGAGTGTTGGTGGAGCTGCATGGTGAGACAGGCGTTGAGGGAGGGGTCAATGGCTTGAACCCAGCTGAAGGTTTCCTTTCATAGGCACTTCAAGGATGAAAAAGAGGAACACAATCCGTCACACAAAACAGAGGCTCTCTGCATGCAGTTCATAGCACAATGTCAACACAAAGAGAAATTTAACTGACTGAGAGCTTACCTGTAGTTATAAAGGCACTTCTCTCCGTACGGCATGGGACTCCGGTCCTGGCTACAGGGGGAGAGCTCTTTGGAAGGACTCAGTTCCCGTTTAATCTTGGCTGGTGGAGGACCATGAAACATCACTGAGAAAAGACAGACAATGGAAGCACATAATCAACCAGAGCATCTAATCGAACACATCAACAGAAGTGTACTGATGGTCCTCAGATGGAGTGTCTTACTCTACACCATTAATCGGCTTACTCTGAGGTATAAAAGCTACATCCCTCACCCATCACTACCATGGTGCAGCAAAACACATGCAATCAAAGCACTCCCTTCTGATTTCCATCATGGCCAAGTCAATACTCATGAATCAGAGCGCTCGTAATTCAATGATTGTGAATGATATTCCTCCCCGCACTGTAACCATTAGCTGCTGGATCTCTGCATCAGCTCCCATATCCGGCGCCACATAATGGCCAACGAAACTGGATCCTGGGGCACTGTGCAACGCTGGCCAAATAAATCAACTTGACCGTGCAGGGCTTAGGAAACCACATACAATGGGCACGTGAAAACTCAAAGCGTGTGCTGAAAGCCAAGGTGCACTGCACCACTATTAACATTAAAGGCTCCTTCAAATCAAATCTAAAAGTAGATGGATATCCCCACACAACTGACACTGGCAACAGAAGAGTAAGTGGTGCCATGTGACATGCAGACAGCCAGAGGTGCACACAGCTCTGCTGAATAGGCGACTGTAAAAAAAAGAGTCAAACTTCTGCCAAGTGCACAAAGCTCTAGCCACAGTGACACTCAGACACACATAAAAATTATTCCGTCACACTGAGATGCCACAGCAGAAAGCATGTACGCTGTTCGGACATCAAAAAAGGTATAATCAATGTGCTACAGTAAAAAGCACTGCAGCATATCAGTCTTTAATGAAACTACATTGATAAGCAAAGCAAAACCAAAACATGAGGCCCGACATATGATGACACCGCACCCCGTCTCCTGGCTTCATCAGACAAAAACAAACTTGTGAAAGAGTTCTGCTGAGAACCTACAGTTTAAGCAATGTGGGTGCTGCAAGTTTAGGTAGCAGAGTGGGGGAGTCTCAAGTCTATTACCCTCTGGAATCTAGTCCATTCTAAAAGAGAGGCTGAGTGCATGAAAGTGTGAAATCAGATTATGTGCTTGCCTCATGTGATGCCAGATACCATTTTTTTTTTAAACTGGAGAGCATTTACTTCTCAGACAGTCCAGGCCAGAATTATGGCCTGACCAAAATGAAAATTGTGACTGATGTCAATTTTAAGGTGTTAAAAACTCAGATAATCAATATACTAATAATATGATTGTATCTTTACATTTCAGGTTTTTCTTTTAGACTCCAGTGGCTTTGTTTAAAATTTATTACTGATGTGCCCGTCAGTTAAAAACTGAACTGTCAAGTTTTCTGCCCAATTTAGTAACTGTCAATCCCACTCACTAGTTAGGTGTCCCCATATCACACGAAGCTAGCAAACAGAGAGGGTGAAGGCTAGCACTATGTGAGGCCAGTCATCACATCTTTTCAAACTGCACATAATGTAACATTATTAGGCAGCTCAACACGCTTGGAGGGGAATGCTAACTACCAATTAATTATACCAATTTCTTAAAGCTCAAAAAGCACAAAGTCTTACAAAATGTAAATAAATGTAGCATGGGTAGATGGGCCTCCCACAACTGTCTGCAGTTTTGTTTTTTGTTAATTACCCTTTTCAACAGTTTTCAATATGTTATTCTCATGTTAATGAACAGGTTTGGGTGAATTTACCAGTTCAGCCAGTATTGGTGTGACAAAGTGACACATGCGCAAGAATGTGTTAATTCATTCATAAGTTCATTACAATCTAAGTCACTAATTATTAATAATTTATTGATGGAGCTTTTTTCCAATGCAGATAAATGCATGGGATGTACATGTCATGCCAGAATAAAACGGAACATAACCAGCAGCATCCATCATTGACATCTTTACTGGGAAACAGCAACCAAACCAAATCAACAAGATTGTCTGTGCACTTGACACCCTTCTATGCTTATGGTGTCCTTTATCCTCTCAAAAGAATTGACTAGAAATTGGAACAAGACCTGAATAATGAATAGCTGCCGGAGTTTGAGCTAAGCTGTTTCTCCCTTGCCCTCACTGGACTCAATCCAAAGTACATCACCAAGGTGAATAAATAATAAATCTCAGGTACTCACGGCTATCTGACTGGAAATCTGGGACAAACTGTTCATCGTCGGGCACCTGGGCTGTGAAGAGATACAGAAAACATGATATGAGATGAATACATGCATCCAGGTGGAGAACAGTGCACATTAAACTAACCATTCTTCTAATATAAATTTGCAGTTTCGAAAAATTTATCATTTAGGGAAAAGTAAATGCTGGCCTAAGCACTGAAAAACCACTGTGAGGTTGGCATTGTGCACTGAAAGAAATTACTAGATTTTCACTAAAACTAAAAACAAGCAATAGCAGGAAATAAAAATTATTATGCATCCATAAAATACAAACTAAATTTGAAAGGGAAACACATTAACTGCTAATATTAAAAATCTTCAATGCATAAATGTTTTTGGGAGTTTCTGGAGAGATATTGTAAATGAAGTGATCAGATTAGCATGCTTTTATTAATAGTACTTCATGAACATGAAAACACAAAGTAATGTTTTGCATTTTTAGTTCAGAATCTAAAACAATAATATGCAGTTTTTCCCCGTCAATAAGGGTGTGTAATAAAAGAAAGAGACCTCACCCTCTGCAATCCAGATTTCTTGCAGCTGGCTGAGGTCCTGGAAGAGTTCTGCAGCAGACAGACAAAGATAACTTTAGACTCTACTGGAATCCAATATTGAACTGAAAATGCATCTCAAAAGGGAAATAAAGGCCATCTTGCAGAACACTGAAATAACACCAGTTAATGCTCAAACATGTTATTGCAGCCACAGTAGAAACACCAAAACTGGCCGTAAGCACAATGTTATTCTAAATGACAACATACGAGTGCTTGCATTACCTTCTGTGTCCTGAGCGAGCTCGGAGTCTACAAACTTTCTTTTCCTGTCACTGACTGCTCTGCTGCATGGTTCTTCCACTCGAGATGATTTCTGCTGTGGAGGAACAGACTTGTTAGTGTGGAGTTATCTGATCTATATGGAAAAAAGGTTCTTATCTCACACTGTGCTTCATGTTTAACCAGCTTCTGGCTATTACTGACAAAAACAAGACATACAATTTAGGGCACACTTACATTAGATGGGACCATGAATGGTACTTGCTGGTCATAAAATCCGTCCATGTTACCTGGGTCTTCAAAAGTTCCCAGAACAGGGTCTTCGCTTAAAAGCGACAGCTGCTTTATGGTGTCTCTTTTCTCTATGGGAGATAAAAACCATCTACATATAAGAGAGCTGTTTGGCAGATGCAGTCAGTACATTCTGCTGCACAAATGCTGACATAATCTTCAAATCTATCGGCTCAGGACACAGACACCCCCTCCTTCTTCTTCTTCTTTGTTGTTTATCACAACAGCCCTGGTGACTGAGTGTAAGGGCATATGGGAGAATGTGCTGTAGTATGTAAACACTCTCCGAGGTAGTGACAAACGTGAATCTTACATAAGCAAAGCCAGCCATCTGTGCCTATGATTATGAGGAGAAGCAAATCACTTAAAGCTAAGCTTGGGTCTAAAGGACGCACCCAAATGCAACAGGGCATTATGTACATGCAGATATAGGTCTTTATAATAGCCTTTATAACTGTGGTCTACAAGTTGTTCAACGTGAGCAAACAGCAACACCGCTCTGTCCCAACATCTAATCATGTAGCCTGAAGGGATCCACTGCAAAACAGCAATTTGTGTGGCCACGTCTGTAATCTGTGAAGTATGTTCTAGAGCATTAAGAAATACCAAAGATAGTCTGGAGCACAGCAGAACCCCAAGAACTAAAGAAAAGTGCAACTGACTTGTATGGCACACTGCAACAGTGTGGGGAAAATGTTAATGCTTTAATCTCCATTTACTTTTTATGCTTTCTCTCCTTCAGAGAGAGAGAGAGAGAGAGAGAGAGAGAGAGAGAGAGAGAGAGAGAGAGAGAGAGAGAGAGAGAGAGAGAGAGAGAGAGAGAGAGAGAGAGAGAGAGAGAGAGAGAGAGAGAACTGTGCGTGATGCATATTTTTCAGGCTGTGTGTTCAGAGAAAGTTCAGTGGGAAAAGAGAGAACTGTGCGTGATGCATATTTTTCAGGCTGTGTGTTCAGAGAAAGTTCAGTGGGAAAAGAGTCCGGATTAAACAGCGTGTAGCGGGCAGGTGATCCTGTTTCCATTACTATTCAGATAGTAACCAAAAAAAAAAATCGAGGTTTTAAACATCAAATCTTTACCTTGATCAAGTTCAAAGCAACAGAGCTGAGAAATTCCACCTAACACAATACCCAAATCTGCTTATCGATTAACTTACAAAAACACTGCAAAACTAATAAAACAGCTCTACAGCGGTAGATCGCTATAGTTCCATAAGGCCGAATAAAGTCAGAACATCAGGTTTCCAAGAACGATCCAAACCAGAGGTCCTTGTTTTCACGCCAAGTGTGAAAAAACACATCAGCAAACCTTACAAGGCAAGTTGGCTTCCTATCCTGCCAGCTTCTTGTTCGAATTTTCCCGTTCCCCCTTAATGGTGCAGCAGTTACATTCTAGCGCCTCACGCGCCAGAATGGAGCTGCGGCACCATTTAAGGAGGAACGGGAAAATTCGAAGAAGAAGCTGGCGGATAAGACGCTGATTTCAGCTTCGTTAAAATCTTCTGGAAGTCCTATCTACTTTAACGCGATTATTTTGATTGGGGTGATATCCGACAGCTCCCCTCCCCCCCCTCAAGCCCCCCTGTTTCTTGTTTTTCTCAATGAAATGAAACCTGATCTGTCAGGAGAAAAAAGCTCGAGTCCTCCATTCACAAAACCACAAACACCCACCTCAACGAAATCGCCGAGCTAACACACACGCACGCACGCACACGCAGCCGCTAGCTTAAGTTAGCACCAGCACTACGAACAAAAAATGAGAATACCAGTAATAACATCGCTCAACTTCGTGCAGTAAGATGGTTGCCAAAGTGCGCCCCGTCTAAGATAAAATGGCGTTGGCTTTCTCCTAAAGCGAGATAGCTGGATTTGCAGTTTGGGGTCCATGATAAACTTAAACGCCGCGGAGAAGCGACTTCACCAGCACGCAGTTCGAGTTTATTTCATGCAAATGCGGCTAAATAAACAGCAGCCTCACCTCACAGAAGACGCCGTGCACACGCTGGACGTAATGAATACCGATAAAGGGAGTAAATCCACAAGAAAGACTGCCGTCTCTTCTGCCTGATCAATAGACGCGCTCCGCTCGACACACAAAACTTGAATGGGGATTTTGTAAATGGACTGGTCGGCTTTTCCCTTGGGCTCGACAGACAAGTGTCTTTGTACTCCATTGGCTATATGCTCCTGTCACTCAAACGAGTCAGCCAATAGTCTGAGGGAAGCTAATGAATTATGCATTAGGTGCGAATGGACCAATCATAGCTTGCCTCTGTCCTATTTTTATGAATGACTGGGTTTCATTCACATTCGTGTTCAGCATGCCTCCCCCTTTGTACAGGCTCTTAAAGGGCCAGACTCAGAAACTACAAACTGCAGGTAAAGTTGTCAAAAAGAGTCACGATTCGGTGACACGAAACACGGAGCAGTTTTTTTTAAAAAAGGTTTGACGTTAGATTAATACTCTACATTAGATGACAATATAGGATATGCTTAAATACATTCATTCTAATTCAGGGGTCGGTAGCCTTGCGAGGCCCCTGGTCACAAGCATGTTTGCAGCCCTCCACCCAACACTACAAAAACAAAGCATCTGTAACAATACTAACAATATACAGAAACAATAAAAGTAATTAAAGTATGAAAAGTCATGAAAAGTGAGCCTATTTTGTCTACATCATCACATTTTGTGCCTTTTGTCTGAAGACAAACTCACACGGTAATCACACATCATCACTGGAATGGCAATAACACGCCACAAGTCTATAATAATATAAAACCTGAAATATGCAAAAATAGCCTATTTTGAATTCATTGTTTTCTATCTATCTGTCTATTCAACATACAGCAGTTTGGCTTTGCCTGTTCATGTTGAAGTTAAATCAGGGTTTCAGCCGGGCTACTTTTTAACTAAGGCACGATACAGGGTAGCCGATCACAACAGAGTTCACTTATCTCAAAGGCAGAGATTAACAAAAACAGCCTGTTCAATTCTAAGGGCTAAAGAGAAGTTAGAAAATGGTTATGTTTGTTTTTGGTACACGAACCCACACACACGTCATAAGGGAAAAAAAAAAGAAAAATGCAAAATATGGGCCCTTTTAATGCATCACTGTACAAACTGAGGACTAGTCCACGCTCCTGTGCTGTTTGAAGAAATTCGATTCGCAAGATCATGGATTAAATAAAGGGAGCCCATGTAATTCTTTCAGACATCCTGCAGTCTATATTTAACTAGGCAACTTCTCTGAATATGAGTGAGAGGAATCCTTCATCCAGTAGGATGAGAATAATCTGCAGAATGCAGCAAGCTTTTGAGCGGAGCTTATATTATTTGGGGAGGACAATGATAGCATAAAAGAGATAGGTGTACAGTTACTGGTGTCTTTGTTGCTCTCTGATGCCCCTGAAGAACGGTCTGTCAATTACAATTATTGTGGAGGTCTCCTTTTTATAGTACACTTCACTGAGTCTGTGCGGATGTGGTGGGAGGTGAGAGGGGGCAGGCAAGAGCATATTGTGTTTCCATTCTGATTCTTTCCTTAAATAAATCCTAAGAGGTGACACATGCTACAGTGTCACTGCGGCACATCGCTTGTGGAATGAAGGTTACGTCTTTTACAAACACAATTCAAAGAGGTCAGTGAAAGACCACTGAGCTGCATAGGAACTAGCCTAAGAATATTTTTCTCCTTTCTTCTGCACACTCATGTGTGTCTTAGAATAGGTGGGTAAAGCAAAACTTCAGCACTAGAACTAGTGAGGTGAGAGACATCACTGATCATACTGCAGCACAACCAGAGAGGAATTCCAGCACATCTGTTGAATGGTCACAAATGTGCTATAAAGCCCAAAAGCTATTACAGTGTCACAGCTCTTGCTTCAATATGCTAAACCCCTACAGACCCACAGAAAATGATCTACGATAAGAAGCAGAACTAAATGGCATCTCTGAAAACCTTGGTGTGAAATATGTCGGATACAGCCAGTGGATGAAAGCGGAATGAGGGAAGTCACAGCTTTAGGCCATTGGTAGTCTCCCAAGGAGAGACGAGATGTGACTTGCAGACTATTAATAGTCCATAAAGAGATAATTCCTCCCTCATTATCTCTGCATGCCCAAGATGCCCAGCCTTCGCCTCTGTGTGGAGCTTCTTGTTGTATAATCAGCACCTCAGTGCTTGAAAGGCTGTTTTGGCAAGCACACAGAACAAAGGGCACAGTGACAAAAAAACAGTTGCGATGTAGAAGGACGTGTGCATTAGAAATTTTGCTTCTAGTAAACATGATATAATTCTTTTATTCAGGTTGATTTATGCCTGTTAGCATATGTTTCATATAAAGGATCAATGTGCTACCATTAGTAAGTTGCCTAGGTGTCTTATAATGTTATATAAACAAAGAGTCACATAAAACGTCATTGAAACCATTTATGTCCAACTAAAATTATGATACGTGAGAAAGTCACAGAACTTGTTCTGATTGCTCTAAAGCGGTAAAATTTTGTGTAGTTATACCTTGAATGAACACCTAATGGTACCAATTTGATTATTCATTTTTGTATTACATGTAATTTCTATGCTTTCATTCACAATCAAATGGATTTTCTAAAGTTCTTGTAAAAATTCAGTCCCATGTGACCAAAAAGACTAAAGTTAATATGTTAAAGTGCTAAACATCACTTTTTAGCCAGATGGATTCATTGATTTGAAAAATTTCTTTACAAATTTGCACTTAGGCAAATTCAGAGAACACATGTACTGAGACTTTTTAAAAAAAAATTCACATCACAGTAAAGAGTAGAGGTTCACGTGATATTTACGAAGATTATTAAAATGTGTCAAAATGATATATACCACAATATAGAGTTGGGGTGCTAGAAAATATACACTATATGGCCAAAAGTATGTGGACACCCATTCTAATTACTGAGTTCAAGTTTTTCAGCCATACCCACTGCTAACAGGTGTACAAAATCAAGCATTACCAAGCAATCTTAATTGAAAATCACTGGCAGTGGAATGTACTGAAGAGCTCAGTGACCACACATGGCACTGTCATAGGACGCCACAAGTCAGTCCATAAAATTTCTGCCCTGCTACATCTGTAAGTGCTGTTATTGTGAAATGGAAGTGTCTAGGGGCAATAACAGCTCAGCCATGCATCTGGAGACCACAGAAACTCCCAGAGCAGGACAGCTGAGTTTGGTGGAGGGTGATGATCCAGTGAAGAGTATTGTTAGTGCTACAGCAGGCAAGGACATTTCTGACAATTATATGCTTCCAATTTCAGATTTTGGCTAACAGTAAAAACATAAATTCAAAAGGAAATGAATGAAGTAACCAAGCAGAGTACCTTGACTTTGGCAGGAGGCACCTGTATCAACACAAATACTGGAGCCTTTGTATGACCCAATATAACAACACTAAACTCGGAGCAAAATGACACAAAGAATTCCCCAACAGGGACTCACATCATCAGCATAAAAGCAGTGACTTGTGTGATTAAATTGAAATTCAATCAGGTTAAATAGAGGATGAAACCAGTAATGGATGGGTGCCATTATTGGATAAGTGCATTTCAGCAGTCCCCCTCTAATCAACAACACCATAGTCAGTTCTCAACCTCTCCTTTTATTCAATAAATCTTTTGTCCATCAACATGGATGCCTACAACTAACGATAGCAATGGGGAGGACAGAGGATAAGAGGGTCAGGAGAAGGGGCAATCAATCCTTCCTCTTTAGTGGGAGCTCAGTCCACAGGGTTTTGCACTGTGCCCTTGACCCTTGTTGACACACAGATGGAGTGCTACAAACCACATTAACTCAACATGGGCTTACACATACATGTAGAATATCACACTGAGGGATGACATGGGCTTTACTGCATCTGTGTCATTTAATACTGTTTATCTGCCTCAGCTAAGAATAGGGCTACATTGGGCTAAACCATGCCACCTCTGTCTGATTTACAGGCAAGGTCAAAATCAGAGCAATGCAGAAAAGAAAAGAGATTATTTATTGATACGGATATTTCACCGTCACTGTTAAAAGACCACGTTGTCCAGAAATTCAGTTTCCTCTGGGTCCTAAGATATGAGCAAAGAAGCAGCATGTTTTTTGAGATTATATCGCATCATTTTCTGGTATGGAGAGACATAAGACAGTAGTATTAAACCTTGATAAATGAAGATTCGCAAGAGAAATTTTTGCACACATAAAGTGATAGTTAACTTTTGACGATGTGTCAATATTGTCAGGTCCTGCACAGAGGGTGACGATGGCTATCCTGCTCCTTCTATACAGAGAAGGCTGGGATGATGAGGCTAATGGCAACAAATACCTATTTGTGCAACACAGTAGAAGAGTTATAAGATTTCCACTTATTTTGCTTCCTTTTTTTGGTTGACTTCTCAGTTTGTATTGCATGTGTGCTGCTCCAGGCAAAATGCTATTCTGTATTTGTTGTTTAAGGCCATCAGTCATTTACATTGACAGAAACAACAGAGAAGGTGACAATGGAATATATCACGGATGACATTTCCTGTGGGTAGAATGCCAGAGACATACTTCAGTTCCCTGTTGATACATTTATCTTAGTGCCAAACCGTTCTCTACAGAGTACTTAACAAAGAACAGCCACAGAGGTACTTTTACTATGAACATGCTACGAACCTATATTATGAGAAAAATACAACGAATAAATACAGCGGGCTATGACCATTAAGCAAAAGTTAGATAAGGTCCAGAAATATGATGTGGAGAAACTGGTAGGGTTGCAACAATCAGCATGGTCTCTCTTCAAGCAGACACCTTTGTCTTCTTTGCTTCAGCAGGCATGCGGTGGTATAACTTTAGATAAAATATAAACAAATATCTATATATACACAACTGTTTAAAATCAGTCTAAACTGTAAAATGAAAAGAAATTGTAAACATGCACTCTTTTAACCAAACCGCCTGTCAAGAAGTACCAAAGAGCCATAAAAGATAACTGTCTGATGACCACAGAAACCTAGTGAAATTCATTAACATGTGACTGATTGACAGGAGGTGACCAATGCAATGTACAAATGTCAGATCCTGTGGTCATCTAGACAGATTTGCGCTTTATAGGACCTTGATACAGCATTTGCGGTTCAGTGTTCTTTAAAGGGAACCAGAGGCAGAGCACACCAGCCTGCCCCATTAAGAGAATTGTGTTCTGCGTGCTTTAAGGAGAGTTAGCCTCCACTGTACAATCATAGTTGACCTTGAAAAGTTCAAATCTGAAGTTAAATTATCTCAAGCTGAAAAATAAACCTAAACCCAGATCTGTAAAACAGTGAACGTTATATAATTTCAAACCAGGGTGCAGTGGTTCTACCATCTCCGTTCTGAATGCAGCACACTGCCAATGTATCTGATGATCACAGAGTGCTGATCTCTACTGGTGACATTTGCTTATATCTGCCATTCATGTCACTTATTAGATAAGATTGCCAGTCTCTGATGCTATATTACAATTCTCTGCAAGTTATCAAACACATTCATATGTATGCACACAAGAAGCCTCTCAGAATATACAACTACTGTGTATTTATATACATGATGGTAGGCATCTTTAGTCTAACAATGATATCATCTCCAAGGGCTACATTAGAAAGGTTAAAAAAATGTTTACTTCACAGCATATGGTGCCCGCCCCTCAGAATATATACACGGCAACGTAGATTCTTTTCCCTGCATTGACCAGTTAGGGGTTTTCAAAACTCTTTGCCTTTGGACTCAAACTTAGGATCTGATATTTTCATGCTATAATTAGGAAAAGCATTTCATAGGAAAGATACTGCTTGAAATTGGTAGTTACGTTTACACATACATACATATAATGTAAGTAATTACTTCAGTTGGCACCTTCTTAGTTTATTCTCTTAACTGTGTCTGGCATACTAAGAGCAACCCAAGCCACTAGCCATCTGTGTCGTTTTACAAAACTGACACTAGTAACCCATGGACATCAGCCTGAGGGCGGACACCAGATAAGCTAGAAGCAAACAGTAGGGCTGGAGGTGTGCATCTCTCAGCTTGTAAGCCCAAGCCTACCTACCCCCACCAGCCCACTGGCCATAAACAACCCACTTTATAATAGATGAGCTTGCTGTTTCGTCTCTTTAAGTGGTGGTGTGTTGTGGGGCCTTGGAGAGGCACTGGAGTGAGTGCTTTGCATGCACTGATCTATTATTCAGCAGACTCCTTCAGAAGGATAGTTTGTTCCCTGGTCCTGCCAGGCCAAGCTTGGGCCCAGTGACGTCTCAGTGTGCACCACCCGCTCCCACTTTGAGGACAATTTCATGACAGGGTGACTTTCTTTCTCTGGCTGTCTACCCTGAATGTAGCACTCTCTGTCCCATTTTCACCTTACTTTGGTGACATTTTTGATGATGTTCCTGAGCACTGTAGTTTATTCTTTCTCAGCTCCTTCCTATATCATCCCCTCTGCTTCTCAGTCAGTATCATCTGATGAACCTACTCATGAGAAGTGAGAGGCCAAAGTGTGATACAAAGGCAGTGGCCTACTGGTGGGGTGTCCTGGTAGGAATGGGACATAGCTTACAGGCTGCAGAGCCTGTGATAGGAATATCAGAGAGATTTAAATACACAGGAACTGGTCAAGACACTGAGTTGGTTCATTCAGTCACTGCAGCCTCTGAATGTTAGGCTACTATGGAAGTTGGAGTCCTTTGTCCATGCAAGATAGAGTTAAAAGTTTTTTTTCCCCATCCGTAAGTCACCAAAGAATTGGACTTTTGTACTAGTTGTCCAGCCAGATATCCATCTCCACCACCCTGAGCAGATAGCAGGGCTGAGGATGGTGAAGATATGTTTTGTGTGTGTTTGTGGCAGGGGGGGTGATTGGTCTAGTCCCGACTTCTGTTGCGCTTTTTGAGGAAGAAGAAGGGTGTTTTCTGTGGAGGTCCCAGCAGCATGGGCACCTGATTCTTGTGTGTAATTCGTATCTGTTGGCAGCACAAAGAAAAAAGTCAGGACATCAGCACATGTGCAGGCCTGTATAATGAATAAACAGGTTCTTCATAGCATTTTACAAGGTGAGAGCAGTTACCCCTCTCACTGCATTAGCTCACCACTTTGTCCACACCATTCCACATCATATTTAGCCAATATGCTGACAGTTCTTATTATACATGTCTAGTTAACTATACTTAAGTCTGATAATATGAGAAAGCTGGCTTTGAAACCAAAATAACATGAACATTGACATTGGGGTTTATCTTTGAGCTGCTGGGCAAATGAGAGGAGACTAAGAACTCTTCACAGTCGTATATATTTAGCAGGGGCTCTGTGCTAGACCCCTCTATGCATGTTCCCCTCTCTTTAATGACATAATCAGTCAGTGGTGGGGTGTGACATGACAATGTTTTAATTAACAGGAAGCTTGCCTGGCTGAGATGACTGGCTTTGCAGAAAAGAGAGGCATGAGAGGAGTGGGCTTAGGGCATGTACGGACAAAGACCCACTGTTATAGGGTGCTGGACTTTACATTTTGAAGAAACACCTTAGAGTACAGTGCAAAAGTCAGAGATCATGCTTTCACTGATTTAATTTCCAGTCAACACAGCTATTAAATACAAGTTGTTCATTTTTCAGTGCCAGGAAAAAGCAGAAAACACATAGTATTTAGTATCTCCACACTTTTCCTTTATTACGGCTTCCATTCTTTTTGGGAGACTAGCTTTCGTTTTTTCTAAGAAATCTGCAGCGATATTTTTCCACAACTCCAAAATTCAGTCTTAGAAGTTGGTTGTATTTGCTGCTTCTCACAATCCAAATAATCCCAAACACAGTCAGTGATGTTAAGGTCTGGACTTCTGGCTTCTTGACAGCTACACATCTTTTCAGACTCATAGTGTTGAGTTGTCGTCTCACAGTGGAAGGATGGACAGAAACACCTGTTGATTTTCTCCTCTCTCTCAAATATGAAAACTGTAAGTACTGTGCATTTGCTGGTGACACTTTTTGGTGGTTTACCAGGTCTTTCACTGTTGTTAGGAGTCCCATTTTATACATATCATGTTTTTTGAATTCCCAATTATTCAATTATTTTCCTTTGACTTCCCCATGATCTATCTAATCTCTTCAGAAATATCTCCTGAAAATTTGAAAAACTTGTATTTAATGGTCATTTTGACTGGAAATTAGAAAGTGAAAGCTGGTCTCTGACTTTTGCACAGGACTGTAAATATTAATATGTTAAACAGTATTTGTTACTTTCAGTAATGTTTATCATGCTGTGAGGATGCTATCAGCATAGAGAAGGCCATCTTTGTGGCCTCAGGAACTGAAAGACTATAGTGCACTGTGGTTTGTAAAAAGAGCAGTGTGCTCACGTTTGGTCACACATAAACATGTAAATTAGCAAGAAACACTGAATGGAACCCAAAGTGACCTCACCGTGCATGGAGGCTGCATCCATGGCTCCCCATCAATCTGCATAGGCAGCAGTCTGGATGTCCTGAGTGAGAGAGAGAGAGAGAGAGTGTTGGGGTCAGGTTGCAGGCAGCACATGGGCATGAGGCTCCTCTCTAACACCGTTGCTGGATGATTCTACACACTGCTTTCTTTGTTCCCACGAGTGCTTTCCCACAGTGGGCCCCACTCTCTCTAAACTCAACACACATACTCGATTCAGCACCCTGTGCCCCCATACATACACACTCTTCCACAAAGTTAGTTTAGTCTTTTCAGCTGCGCCACTCCAAATTAAAGCAACACCGTATGGGAGAATGCAAATGATGAATAGCCTTTTAATTCAGCTTTTGGAAAGTATTAGGTGGAAGGCAGGTGAGGTGGGTGGGGAATGGGGTGGCCTAGGAGCCTCCCTCTCATCTCAGTGTGGCACTAACTCTTAAGATCATTATGAATGCTTAATGTAGCAAGGAAGGTGAAAGCTACCGAAACTTGTGAACTCATGCCTTAGGCTTGCAATGACTGTGAGGCACTTTACTCGGTTGGCAAATTAGCATAAGCAGGCAGTGTGTGCTCAGACATGTTACAGACATTATTATTCATCAGGCCTGGCTGCTGGGGGGACGTGAGTGAAGTGGTGGAAGGTTAAAGGTCTGAGGTGTTGGCTGAAGTTCTTAGCAGAAGGAGGCCTGCTGTTGTGTCATCATGGATGTGAAAGAGGGCAAGGGACACTTCTGTCCGGCTGAGTGAGCACACAGACAGGCCCACGGAGACAGCAGGAGAGCAGAGTTGGGTTTGTGAGCTGGACAGAGGTTGACCTTGCGGTCAGAGTGTTTGTTAGCGTGAGTGTTTCACACTGACCTGATAGTGACGCTGGCACACTGGGCAAGACGTCGACCAGCACTCTTCAGGCCTGTGTAGATCTGGCCCATCTCTATGGCCCCTTCTAAGCCCACCACTTCTAGGAGCTGGTCACTCAGGTCTGGTCAGAAAAAAAGAGAGAGACAGATGAGATAGCTGGCATGTGCTGGCTAAGGCAAAAAAATCTGTTAAAGATGGAATTTACAAACAGAAACATAGATTTAAAGAGCTGGATAGAAGCAAGAGAGGTCTTAAGGTCAGCAGCTAAGCATAAGACATGGCTAAGCTCTAGTACACGCTTGTAAAGCACTGTTTAATCTCTTTACACACACTCATTAACTCTCTCTCTCTCACACAGTCACGCACATACAGACGCAAGCAAGCAGGCACGAGTTATAAAGTCTCCCAGGCTCTAATAATACCATGCTTGTACTCAGTAAGATTTGTCAGACATTTCATGTGGCAATACACTGGCAATAGTGTTAATGTGTAAAGTCTTGAGCAATAAACTAGTTAAAAAAGCCATTATTACAGTCAGTGCAAGTGGAATAACTGTAACATGGCACTGTTTAGCTCAAACGGTCAAACTGTGAGGAAAGGCAGATAGGCTCTGTTGTGGAAACAATAAAGTGCAAATGCATTGATGTCATATACCTGTACAGTTGTGAAGTACTTAACAACAGTATGATTGAGCATGACACAGATGTAGACCAGTGATTGGCTTCTCTGGGTGAGGAGAATCCATTGGCCAACCAACTCGCCAAGTCAAGCATGTTTCTCTCTCTCATTCTTTCTCTCTCATGTCCCTTTTAAAAACCTGACCTACATTCCCTGCTAATCAGTGTATACTCTCACTGCTCAGTGGTTGCTCAGCTGATTAGCACAAACCTCACACACATATGGTTACATGTTCCCCACTGTGTCTCATCTACTCCACACAGCCAGCAGAATGATCTCTTATCTCAACCATCCAAACAACTGTTGGGCAACTCTGTTGATTCAAGACAAGCTGTAAAATTCAAGGCTATTTTATTCCAATAAAAGCCAAAAAAGGACTAATTTATTCAAAAAAGGAAACCAAACAAACAAACCCTCCACTCAATTCTGACATGGTTCACATGTCTGAATGAAACTCTAGGCTCTGTGCCACAGTGTAAACACTGTGTATAAAAATAATAATCGCACCCTGTCACCTGACACAAGACAGATATGTTTTCGTGAGCAAACAGGAAGCTATTGCCTGGCTTTTTCTGGACACTGTGGAGAGATGATGGCTCACGCAAGGGTAGTGATGCAAGTCTGGACTGTATGACAGAAGGGTCAAAACGCTCCAGAGATGTTCCATGCTGACCAGGCAGGATTTTGCCTGTGCTGGTTTGGTTTTGGGTTACAGCAAGTGGCTATAATTAGAAAAGCCCACTAAAAATTAAGTTTTTCTTTTTAATAAATTTTCAATTTTTTGTTCTAAGTCGCAGTTTCACAGTATACAGTGTGACACTACATCCATGATGGATCTCACGAAATAGTCTGTGCTCAAAGAGGAATTCTTTCCTTAAATTTAATTGTTGAGATGTAAAAAAACAAAGTCCTTCAGACTGGTTTAATGTGAAATGGTTTATTGTAATGAAACCTTATTTTACAGTGGTGGTGGAGGGAACCAGGGGTCACAAAGTCTTCAACACAAATATAGCCATTTCATTTACCACCTAAAGTGACCGGCAAACATACATGTGTCTTCTGAGTTTTTCTGTGTAATGTTGATAATGGTAAAATAAAACATCTAAATATTCAAATCATGCAGAAATTTGGAAGAACCAGCTGAGCATTTTTACTTGATGCAACGTGGGGGTAGAGGGAGTGGACAGTGAAACATGACCTTAACATATTATTAGTTAATATTACTTTTCCCCACTCACTGGCGTACAGTGAAGGAGCCAAAAATCAGACAATGTTTTAGAGACAGGTAAAAGTCATATCATTTTGATGAAAGATTACAGGAAAACTAGAATTTAGCCATTTAAAATATATGATGTGATGAATCATGCTAAATATGACCAAAGACATGAACTAACAAGGTAAATAATGTCAGTTTTAAGGATAAGGCAATAGTAAAGTCAAGCCCATTTCTGATATTATGACCAAAAACACAAATATGCTGGGTTTCAATAAAAACCTCAAAAAACGCACATTTTGCTTGTGCCAACCAAGAGTCTTCCTACAGTATTCCAAACAATTAGAATTCCTGCATACAGATCCATCTTCCTCACTGCATATTGAAAGCTAAAGCTGGGCTTTTGGTTTTCATGTGAAATGATACTGTGTTCTGAACTGATGAATGCAGCCTTGAATATTGCATTGATGGGTTAAGTAAGTTAGTGAGTCATTGTTGAGTCATTAAATATTTCAAAAAGCGAATTTCATGGCACATATAACACAGCAAGTCCTTTGAGTGAACATAACCAACTGTTAAATTGTGCCAAGCACAAGCTGAATCCGCCTACTTCTACTTTCATTTATATAATAACCAGAGCAACTCGGATGTTATAACGACAAAAGACAGGTATGTTTGTACATACATGCATGTGCTTTTAAGCTTTTAAGAATTTACAGTATTTGTAAGAGTGTCATAAAAACTGCAAGCAGCCATTTTAGTCTCTTTCTTTTGTTTTCCTCTGAGATACACAGTAATTTGCAACAATGCCTTATTAAAAATTACAGCAGTAGTTACTAAAGGATTCATTGAGTGTTGTGAATATAGAACATTTAGGACTAGTAGGACTGGGCTGCCCTTGCCTGGGGTGACATGCCCTTGTGACCCTCCCCCACAGATTGGCCACACGGGTAAAGCTAATCTGAAATGCAAACACATCCCAACACTCCGGTGGGAAAGGGCGATAAGCCTAATGGAGCAGCCCATATCTTCAGCCCTCCCATCAGATGACACTAGTACGTACCTGCATGTCAAAGGTTTTGTTCTGAAACTGATGCACCGCCAGCACTTTGCATCTTTGGGATTTTCCCAGAAGTACTAATAGGATTGAGAGCCATTAGCACAAAAGTGTCCCATTAAAGAGGCCAGACTAGAGTCTCGGCAGTGATACTATGCACCACTGTGCGAGAGAGCTCATTGAGACAGCCACCAATAAGGCTTCTTATAACAGCTCAATAATAAGTATGCAACATTACACTTAGGGCATAATATGAATCATATTCTCATAATAGCTTCATAATATGATAATCCCATGACACATTATAGCTAGCAAATAACAATGAGACACGTTTCCTTGTCAAATATTTATTTTTCGAACATTAAAATAAACCATGAATGGTTTATTTTGCCCCAAGGAATACAACTAGACTAATAAAAATGCAAAAAACCTTATCACTAGTGTTTTAGTCACAGTTTTAATCTGCCACGTAGTAATTTAATTTTATGTGAGTAGATAATGACACAATATGATACATGACAAAACAGTATATTAAATTCTAGACCAATAACACAGTCATTAGTAGACAAACACTACTATCAAACTTGTGCTCTTTTTCCTTTCATCACATCACACACGCATCCAGCTTCATCAGATCTGCTCTTTTTTATTCCAGGCCGTGCATCACAGAAAGGCTGTGCTAAGAATAGCTCACAAACGTCGTCTTACATAACCTCAGCAGAATACATTCTAGGGAGGATAGCAAATCCTGCCCATATTGAACTGGCGTGCTTGCACCAAGCTCGGACCAGCTTAACCAAACATCAAACTAAATTATTGCAAGACGTTTAAACACTGATCTTGGGTCAGCTGTACCAACAGTGCAGTACTGACTTTTGCAGAAATATCAAAAGATAGAGATGCACAAAGGCTCCAATAAGAAAGCACAGAGGCAGGCGAGAGACATCAGCTAACAGCACCAGCTCCAAGGCACACTGGTAATTGCGGGCCTATTTAGTTCAGCTCTACGAAGCATGTTTTGTAAAAGTGGTCCCTAAAAAGTACCGCTATCTGAGAGGGAATTGTTTGCCACATTAAAATATATTATAGAAATAGAAAGCATGAAATATAAAGAGTGATATTATAATTTATAACGAAATCTAAAGTAGTAGTTCATATACAGTTCTGATTATATTAAAATTAGTTTCTAGGGCTGTATAATTAGAATAATCACATTTTTTTCAATACATTGAATAGGGCTGTGATAACAGATCAAATTACATGTGCACTGCGCCAGAGTGATGTAATTATATTGGAAGGAATGTTGTGTCAGAAGCCATGGCCAACATTAGAGCACTAACATCCCTGAGAAGGAACTGAATCCTAGTGTCCTCTTTGCAGGATGAGTGTCTTATCCACTACACTAGCCAACATACAAAGCAAACCCAAATTTTTGCTATTTGATTTAATTAGTGGTTACAGCGATGCTCTTTTTTCACAACGCAGCAGCAAAATGCAACTAGGATATGTAGTTTATAGTCATTTTTGTCATCTATTGCTCAATGAACTAGAAAAAGGTTTTGGGTGTAGGGACTGTACTCGCTAGACATGTAGTCAGATGAATGCTGAAATTGTATATTTGAATCACAATTTATCACTCTTCATACTGTCATTGCAGTATCCAACAACTTTATCACACATCATATTTTATGTCCATTTAATGAAGCCTTAGTAGTTAACGCATGCTCTCATAGAATCCTGGCTAAGGATGGCTGTGACATTGCCAGATATTGAACGTGATCTCCCGACAACAGGACCAATGCTGCAGTTTAAGAAGATAATGGCCTTCACAAAGCCATGCTTTTTCCTATGCTTGTCCCAAATGGTCATAATCTTAGTGTTCAGCCAGTGGGAGGGCTCTATGACATGCAAGCGAGGTGAGGAGGTATTTATTGTGCTTCCGACTCCCTCATCTCTCAGCTCTGCTCTTCGTGTCTTGGGCTGCTCACAGCAATGGCAGATGGTCAGGAGGAACTGGCCAGGGTGGAGGAGCCATGGTGGAGGTGCGGGGGCGGCCCATAACTTGGCATTAGGACAGAGCCCCAGAGCCGCCTCTCTTCCACAACCTCACATGTTTACGGAGCCCAGTGACAGCAGAGGAGGAGAGAGTGGCTCAGGCAGTGAGAGGGAAATA